CGGCAGTAAACTCCCTGCAAAGATGCACAGATTCAGATCACCAGTTTCTGAACAAGAGCAGAATAATGGCGATTGTTACAGATTCTAGATACTCATTACCTAGCGTTTGTTTCGCAACAAACATTATTTAAGGGAGAGTGGGGAGCCATGTGTCAGGAGGCACGATATTTCAGCGTTAATACCTTCTTCCCTCTTACAGTCCTGGGTTGGCACTTTGAAAGTTTAGTTTTAATAAGGACAGTTCCAACTCAACATTAAATGTATCTTCCTTAGTCTTGCTTTTGCGTGCATAATATGCAAGAGTCACTAAAAGAGTTCTAAGACTGGACAAAAATTGATTGATTTATTCACAACATAATTGGCAAAGGCCAAGGATTGACTATAAAAAAATTGACTGACGGTGAGCATGAAATATTGAAGTAAAGTGGAGGTAGAGCCATGCTTTCTTAAAATTTATTTTAGACTCGGAAGGCATACAGACTGAATAACAGCCGCAATCCCCCCCTCCCCCGCAGACACGCTCCACGATAAGTCATGACGTATTCATAAGGTCAAGAACTTTGTATGAAAAAAGGGAAAATGCATACTTTAGGAAGTTAGGGAAAGCTTTAAAAATCGGAAATCCTCGGAACAGGTGCAAATACCTTAAATAAGGGGGTCTCGTAAAGATTCTGCGAGGATAATTTGGACTAAATTTTGCAATTTGGACCTATAGATTATCTAGCCCGGTTTAAAAATAACGTATGTGCCATTAGTTTCCCTATGCACATAAGTGTTTTTCCAGAGGAGCCAGAATTTATAGTTCCAAATCGCAAAATCCAGTCCATTTTATTTCATCTGGAATATGCAAGTTCATGGGGATTGTTCACTTGAAATTTGTAGAGCTTCGTGTTTCACTTGAAAATATACATTACATATAATTAATTTGAAGTTCAAATTAAAATTAAATGCACAAAGGTGTTCGACCTCAAAAGTGAGTGTTACGCAGTTTTTTAAGCCCTCTCAAAAAAGTCATTTAAGTCACATTTAATCCTCTCTCCTTGAAATATCAGGGGCGTGGCGTGCTTTGCGATGTAATCGATTGATCTGCCATTTGAACCTATAGAAAAGGATCGATACACAGACACCTGCGAATAATCGATTTTTACCATAGCTTCAAATGGGGTAGATATAAAAAATCGATCATTCACGCCTCGCCGCCGTGGAAGATTCCTGCATCCCTTCTTTTCTCAAGTGTGTGCCGTCTAGTGAGTCTCAAATATGGTGTCTCTGTATTTCAGGATTATCGGAGTCAAAGTATCAAAACGAAAAATGAGAAGAGCTGAAAAGAAAAATGGATTTCCCTTAATAAGTGTCAAAAACCGTTAGCTGATACTATTTCAAAGAGAGGGTTGAAGGGGGAGGTAGGATATGGAAACGGGGGATGGCGAGGCATCACGTCTATTGGAGTGGGAGGGAGGAATGAGGGGGCTCGGAATGAGAGTAATTTGTGGGATCGGAGATCGGGACCCGGAGGATAAACCTTTGGCAAAAACTGCTGACACTAATAATAAAACGTGTGGCGGCACGAAGATGGATGAAGTATCTTTCTCACCTCTTTCCACTCTCCCTTGACACCTCCACCTCCTTTCACTAACCACCTAAGTAGCGATTTCCCAATAAAAGTGTTGCGGCTGGACTACAATTTTCTTTTCAAGCCCAGGTTTTAAATTGCATACCTCCTAATTGGATTGCATTTTGCAAAAAGGAACCACTAGCATTGCAATGATGCTAAGATTAAGCAACTTCATCTTTTGCAATAAAATTGCGAAAATCGTGAAAAACTATGAAATTTAGATGGTAAATTTTGTCTTAAATTTACGGTTTTTAGCGAGTAAAATAGAAACTATCAATGGATAATCGGGTTTTTCCTCCAAGAAAAAAGAAGTTGCACAATCTTAGCAACATTGCAATGCTAGTGGTTCCTTTTTGCAAAATGCAATCCAATTGCAAAAAGTTTGAATTTTCAAGCAATGAGTGGCAACTCTGCCAACTTAGTTGAAAAATATTTGGCAACATTCACATTCATAACACACGTTTTATTATCTATTTCCAGTCACTTTGATTTAGAACCAATGATGAATACTTCCACCGTCTGGCAGATATCGTCCAAGAGAGTAGCCTTCAATTTTGCCACATAGGCAACAATCATACCAAAGAGCGTGAATAGTTATCTCTTGGAAAAACTCAAGTTTATCTCGTTCTAGTAACTGTGATAGAACCTGAACTTCACATGCTTTCGAATGAACTTAACTCTCAGTTTTTCAAGCCATTAGCAACTCCTGATGGAATTGCGACTCGTTAAAAGTGTTTAAAATTGAACAATAATATCCCCTACTATTAAAATACGATTTATAGTGAATCATTTCTACTTGTGGTGCTAACTCAGGTGAACTATGAATCATTTCTGGTCTTTATCCTCTTTCCAAAAAATCTACTGTTGAAATTTGCTTTTTACAGCAAGCTGGCTGTATGTCCTCAGCCAGGCATTTTTCTCTGTTATAAATGTCTACCCACACAATTACACATTTTTCGCCCACTTCACTTGGAAGGAGCATATTTGCATATTTTAACTATTTTCAGGTTCCTCGGAACCCTTTTGGGCTTAAATGTGCCTTCTTCATGCCTACTTTATCAAAAGTCGCTGTTTCTATAACGGCAAAATGGCAATATTTTATCGATGAGTCAACGACGCTGATTTTTAAACAGACATGCTTATTAAAATCATAGGTTGATTTACTTTTACAGAAGCGTTGACCTGCGCTATCAATATCAGTAAAACACGTTTATCCAGGAGCCTTGAACTTGTCTTAAGTGGTGCCTATGAGATATGATGCAATGATAGATACCACCTCCCATACTTTACATCATTCCACTATTTTATTTTTCACTTCCCTTTCCAAATTCTTATTATTGACGTATTGCAGTAATATCAGCGAATGATAACCTATGATCAACTAATGAGGCAGGTAATTGTTGACAAGAGCAAAGTTATTCGAGAGCCCTTCATACTCAATATGCGGGCTCAGCATTTCTCCGTCTTTATTAGCTCTCACCGGGTAAAAAATAAACAATACACAATAACACTCAATGAGAAAACATTCGCACGCACATGAAAAAGACGATGAAAGTGTGTCAAAAAAATATATTATTTTTGCTTGCTTAATTTCACCCGTATTTGGAGAGTTGCATACATCATATAAATAATAATACTATAACAACGTTGAATTAAGAAACAAGAGAAGACTTTAAACACACAAGAGAAGCGGCTTACGTAGTAGTACTAACTCTTATAAGTTGATTTAACACTTTTCAATTATACATACAAAAGTTCTCCAAAACGTTCCTTTGGAACTACAGGAATGGTACACAATACAGGCACTATAATAATTAAAATATTTTTTTAAAAAATTAAATATTTTACTTATCATAAAATAATAAATAAAATATTCGCACTTAGGATAGATGTACTTGAAGAATAAGAATATAAAAATAAAAATACATAACGCTGCCGCGTATTAATACTCACTAGCTCAATTCTTGAGATAAAATCTTAATGCATAGGTTAGCCTCGTTAAGAGGTTATTGAATACTTTACAGTGTGTCCTAAAATGAAATGCGGATAATTCACAAACCGTTACTTTACGCCAAAAAAAGATCATTTTTTCGTGAAATTTTCCTATGAGCCATTTTAATGGGAATGAGACACATCAAACAAATATCGCAATAAATGCATGCAGGTATTGTAGAAGTACAGAATATTACAAAGTTAAAGTATAAAATATGTATTTAAGTATATGTATATTCCATTTGAAGTATTACACATTCCTTTAGGGCCGATTAAAAAGAGACTCGGACTTTCAAGGGTATCGGATTTTGATGTCAAAACTGATGTCTTCCTTTCTTAAGAGTCCAACTGATGGCATAGACATATTTCGGGACCTAAAATCGATAAAAAGGGACAGCAATAGCAATACTCCCGTAAACCGAAATCCATGACATTCGGTTACTATCCGTCAATGAATCGTGATAATAATTCTTCTCTTATATAAAGTTATACGATTTACCCCGCGACCCTCTGAACATCGGTCCCCGCCACGCCGTCCCAGCGCGTCCCGCGCCCTTGATGTTCGTTCGGCGGACCCCTCGCGGCCGGGACTCCGTTCCCCCCGCGGATTTTCCCGTTCCCACCCCCAGGGGGGTTGCTACGGGCCCCGGGGGTGGTTCCGTTTTTCGCCCGTCCCTCGGCCTGGCGTGCGTCTTNTATAAATAATAAATATAAATATATACCTATTTCTAAAATCTCTCAGGGTCTCAACCCTTAATTTAAAAATGGCTCAATCGCAAAAATGTCTTAAAATTTTGAAAAATAGTCCTGTTGAGCCCCAGCGGACCGATTATTGAAACTGATGGACAAAGCGATAGACAAAGAAGACATAGGAAGTATGGAGCGATCCTATTGGTTGGCATGGTTGGTTCTCATAGACTAAGGAAGAAAATGATGGACTAACTGTCGGGTCTTCAGTGGGTTGCCGTTAGTTTGTCTATTATCTACCTCCTATGTCCATTGCCACCACCTGCTTCCACCAATAGGATCCCTCCACATCCCTTTTGTCGTCTTTGTCTATAGCTTTGTCGATAAGTTTCAACAATCGACCCGCGGGATTGATTCCCATCCGCATTTCAGTTTAGGGCATTATGGAAATTCAAAATGAATATTAGACAGCAGCGACGAGGTGTGAATGATCGATTATCTAGATTTCCCCATTTGAAACTATGGTGAAGAATCGATTATTAAGGTGTTCGTTACGACCACCCAGTTTATCGATCCTGAAGGCCTAGATACACACGGCGATTAATTGCCGCAAGTGAAAGACGAAAGCCAATGGAGAGCCTTGATTTCGATTCATTGACGTCGATATATCGAAACCAAGGCTCTCCATTGGCTTCTGTCTTTCACTCGCGGCAATTAATCGCCGTGTGTATCTAGGCCTTTACGGATAGTTTTCAATCGCAGATCAATCCATATATCGCAAAACGCGCCACGCCACTGATATCGGAACTTTGAAAAACTCATTCCGTGCGGGGGTTAAATGTCTCAAGGGACCACTTAATGCAGGTAGTGGTCTCACGGCTTCAGAGAGGTCACAGCCACGCGTTATGCTCCACCCTCACATCACCAGGATTTCTTCTCTGTCTTTTGACGGATTTGACCTCTACCTAGAGGGCAACTGCGACTACAATTTAGCAGTTATTGCTGATCTTTGAAGAGTGGCATGGATAGAGCCCGAGGGTTTATCAACCGGAAGAAACACGTCGCTGTTTTCTTCACTTTGAACTAAGTGCTCTGGAAACTTTGACAGGTCGAAGGGGAAGTAATGTTTGTTGGGCATGACGATCCGAACCTCCAGAACCTAAAACCAAGAACCGATTAATATCCTGTATTGTACATTTTTCACAGCTTTATTATGCCATCTTGCTGACCTATTCGTCAGCACTGAATGTGTACAAATTCAATGGTTAAACTCTCGGATCGGTGCCTCCAAGGTGACAGCAGTAATGCCTATTAAATACGGGGGTCATTCGTGTAAGTAATATTTATATAACTCAAACGAAAGGAGATAAATCAAATCGGTAAAAGAAAACTATGGTAGGCATATTTGAGGGGCTTGGAGGACAATGCTTACAAATGCAGTTTTTGAAAAAATTTAGATATTAATGATTTCAAGTAAAACTAGTCTTCATAATTCTGTGAAAAATTCGCTCTCAAATTCCAATTTTTAAGCATCAAAATGTCAGTTTGAACTTTCTTTCCGCCGTAAGGATCCATTTAATTTCGAAACTTCAAACACGTTTTACTCGAAATAGCAAAAACTGCTCTTGAGCGCCTTGTCCTCCAAGCCTCTTATTTTAAGATTTTAAGCTTATTTTGTTGAAAATCTACAATGAGATTTAGGAGGAAACGCAATTTAACTTGCCGTAATTTATTTTTAATTAATTACGTGTATTTTTTATTAGAAGTAGTGAATTTTTGCATCAAAATTACTCAAGGTATGCGTTAATAGGCACTGACGAGCTACACAAATGGAGAAAATTGAAAACAAATTGAGTTTTTCGTGTTAAATCGGAATTTCTTCAATCGTGTGTCGGCCTCCTATGGTGTAGTGGTTGTAGCGCTTGCTCTATAATCGGGAGGTCCCGGGTTCGATTCCTGGCCAGGCGACCCGAGTTTGATGGTCTCAAACAATGGTTGCCTGGGGCTGGTTCAGTAGGGACGGAGGGGGGATGGGACTTAAAGCGTGGGATTAGCCCTTGAGGGCTATTTGAAGTAGTAAAAAAAAAAAAAAAAAAAAAAAAAAAAAAAATGATGGCATGATAATATACATTATCAACCAATATACAGCTGAAACTATGAGAATGAAAAATTCATTATCTTAACTCTTATTACTCTGATTCTTTCTGATTGAAAAATTGGATACTTCGGTACGATTTGCTGGAGTACCAGAGATAGGTACGCCGAGGGTAAGGGTCGTCCCTATAAAATTTAGATTCCTCAGGAAATCTTCAGCAGATTTTTGATAACTTGAGCTTATTTTAAAGCTGAGAGTATGCCACAAATTTCTGATTGATTTGGTGTATCTTTTTCCGCTCAAAAGTTATAAAATAGGGAGCCCCGCCTTACGGATTTACCTTGTGTATATTTTTTCTTCGAAAACATTCTTTGAAAATTATTTGGGTGTATATCAGATAATTCAGTCGAAAATAAGTGAAAGGAGAATCTTACCTCAGGATTCTTTTCTAGTATGTACTCAGCGGCTCTATACAACGTGTACTGAACGGAAGGTGAGGGAATTCCCTCGGCTGGTGGGCCAGCGAACTTCTCCAAAATACAGGCCTGGGCTGAATGCCTAAAAATGCAAGGAAAAAAGTTAATTCCCATTTATGCTGGACAGAATACTGTCACATACATACATGTCCATATAATTCAAAGTGTACTAGGCGTTGCAAATACATGAACATACAAAACAGACGTTTCTGCTGCAGAAATCTTCGTAAGATAATGAGATATTTGAAACTAATTTGGATATAAATTCTTTTAGAGGAACGTTAATTTTCGCTCTGAAATCTTCGAATAATGTCTCATGCCCGATAATATTGTACTTCAGTCCATGAAAATGCTATTTCTGGGGGAAAAGAGTAGATACATTACAACAAGGGGGCTGCAAATACGCCCCCTTTGCGCGTAGCGCAGGTGAGCACTGCGCGCCTCGGCCGCTATGGGCGTTATGCGCTACGCGTTACCCTCATGTTTTTATATTATAGAGTGCGTACCAGATTTTATCGTAGTCATTTTTATCGGAGGGTTTGCACTTCCATGAAGCTGACACCACTGTACTGAAAATTCTATCCGTAACGTCTGGTAAACAGGTAAATTCATCATGGACAAATCCATAAAATGCTGATTTCGTGGTTTTCAAGACACGCAGACCGTCAAATCCACTCTCGATATGGATTTCACCTAGAAAAAATAAGCACAATAATTTCATTACTCATTTGATCGAAGCTTACTTTTTTAGTTATCCTTAAGTGGAATGTCCTGACACCGGAATAATTTTGATGTTCACTACGGGTGGTACTTGAATTACAAACTAAAGTTTCTACATTCTGAAGTGAAAATTTGACATATTCGAGCTGAACGTCTTGAGTTATATTAAATGCATACTTTTTTAATGCTATAAAAAATATTACAAAAATCATTAGGCACTCTTATCAGACGTTCTTTCATCGCGAATCTAGTCTTTGATGATTATGTCACCAAAATCTCTATCGACACTACTAAGAATGAAAAAAAAAACGCTTTTGAAACCGGGAGACATTGTCTTGATTGGACACACTGAAATAATTTTCCAACAAATCATGAAAACACAGTGAAAGGGTACATAGTTCAGAGAGTGTATTTTAGCTCAGTCTCTCTTTGCACCCTCCGCAATTTATAATTCATCACTTTACCCACCTTGTCTATTTTGAGAAACTTTACATTTTCGAGTGGCCGTCGGGGTGAATATGAAGGCATGACTGTGTTCTTGGTTCTCGGAGGATATTCGATTCCACGGGTAGTCCTTAATTTCAATTTGTACCTCCTCCACCTGCTTGTATGTTGTTAGAAAATGTTGGCAAAGGAATTGAGCAAAATTTTCAATTGCCTTGATCTGGAACGATAACGTAACGATACATCAGCATGCCATGAATCAGAGTTATTCAATTTTTTCAAAATATGAAAAGAGTAGATTTAAGGGTATCTACGGAGATTGATCGGAACTATGTCTCATTTGTTTACTCCCAGTTTAATCAAGTACCTGCCTGAATGTCAAGCTGAAGGTGTGTTTGGTTGTTTACTTGATTAAGGAAGATAAACCTTGACTCCTCGAGTACATATTTGCTCCAAAACCTTTTTTTTTCTAATCAAACTTATGAGAGAGGGAGGATAATAGGACGTATTCCTATCAAACGGCACTATGTGAATTATGACGTGAGCCCTGTTATGCACATATTCTTATGGGTCTCAAGGCTCATGTCTTAATGCACATAGTTCCGTTTGATAGAAATACATTCAATAAATCGATCGGATGAAGCTGGGTGAGCTATGAGCTAGATACCTAAGAAGGGGAATTTTCACGAGGAGGCGGCTTTAAAAAGAATGAATCTACTTGAATGAAAGTAATTAGCTGGAAGAAACGGAATCGATTAAAATCCTGGATTAGAAAATAATGAAGATAATACAGGAGAATTGAAAAGAAAAAATTATTTTCAATCAATTGATTTTTATTTAGATTAGAGATAATACCATTCTTTACTCCTACATCTGAAAAATCGTGTCATCTCGATGAATTAAAATAAGCATACTCGCTTTAGGAAGAGAGTATGGGGAATGATCCCACGTTGATTTATATGCCTGTTCGATAATTACTATACTCTTTTTGTGTAGGTGTAGCCATATCAGTTTGCCTTCAATTTTTCGAGTAGGCACCACGAGCTCCCAAGTGATCGAATAGTGGAATCACTGGGAAACAGCACGCTCACTCAGGACACGCACAAATGACAGTCCGGAGAGTTGCTGTCATTTTGGTGTCCCACTTCAAAATGGAAAAGTTTTTGGAATTCGGCAGAACTTTCCTTCTTGATTTCAAAACCCGTTGTCGGCCTAACCGAAGCTGAGACGTTTCACTGCAAGAGGGCTTTATCTGTGACGATAGTGCCGCAAAAATTTCTTATTTCAAAAGAGACAGATGAGGTTTTTCCAATGCAACATTACCTCCTGATCCAAAAAAAACGTTGCCTTAAGAAAAATGCGTCGAAACGGAATGCTTACGAGAGATACCCAACATTTTCGGTTGCATAAGTTCAGGGAAAACGAAGCACGAGGTTGTTGGATGATATGGATATTTCCAATTAATTGTGATAGTACCCGAATAAATTAGGTAACTAACCCAAATGTTGCGGTACTACCCTAACTTGAGTTGCGGTACTACCGCAATTAAATGTCCATATCATACAACAAATTGGGGGTAGTACCACAATTTTAGGGGATAACCCCTGACACTTTTTTCCCGTGTTGATAACCGGAAACACTCGCTGTGAAAGTTGTAGCGTCAAGAGAAAATTCACCGGAAACACTTACTGATTGCACTATAATAAATTATACAGCGGAAAGTGGATTCACTTGACGTTCAGCGCCGGGTAGGACGACAACGGGTTTTGAGATCAGGAAGAAAAGTTCCGTTGATTTCCAAACATTTGTCCATTTGAAAGTGAGACACCCAAATAACAGCGACCTCCCGAACTATGAGAGCTTTTCACCAAACGTCAAGTCTGTTTGCCTTCAATTCGTAGTATAGGCAACACAAGTTCCCACGTGATCGAATAGTGGTATCATCCCTCACATAGGAGTAATTCGGTTTCTGGGGGCAAATTCATCGGAGAAACGATGACAACAGGAAATAGATGAAAAGAGAGAGGAAAGGAAGAAGAAAAAGAGAAATGATAAGGAGAAGAAAGAAGAAAGAAGAATAAGAAGAAGAAAAGAGAAAGGAGAAGAGAAGAAAAAGAAGAAGAAAAATTTCTCTGAACTTCCTGCTCTTTTCAAATTGAGGAGGCTAATCCGCTTTGTTTTGCGTACGAAATAAAAACGAAAGTTACGAAAGTACGAAGGTTTGGTCACAGCCAATGTTTCAATGGAAGGAAAGGAAGGTCTTTCTCGTCAGAGAGAGCAACAAAAGACTTCTTCAAAGTCATTGACCATCCTCATATTTTTATTATCTCAAAAGCAGTAAAATGTTTGACTCCGCCATCACTCTGACTTGTTAACACGAGGAAGACACACACAGTGAAAATGTAATGGTATTATTCAAAACAAAAGTGTAGAGAATGGCAACAATGGATTCGGTAACAAGGAAAGCAAACAACAAGATACATCGGAAGTTTTAGGTAATAGCAGAGTTACTTAATTAAAGTAGCTCCTCATTTTCAAGGGAGTTGCTTTAGTATGTGACCGCAGTTCGTTCCCCGAAACTCCGACAAATCCGGTCTTCTGAATTGAGGAAGCAACCTCCAAGTCGATCCGTCCCATTATCTCTCAATCTTGCAACGCCTTATTATTCCACGTGCAGTGAAGGGAATGCGAAAGGTTGGCGGCAGCAAATTTTTCCACAGAATTGAGGAGAAAGGGTTCTCAGATATCCAATATTTTTAAATTTGGAGAAATTCTCTAAAGACTCACCAAAAATGTACCTCAAAATATCAAAATCCCGCATAGTAAAAAAATAAATCTTTAAACTGTTAATTCTCCTTATCTTCATTTCGGTGGACTGACTATCAACATTAATTGACAAAGCTATAGACAAAGGAGACGAGGGAAGAAGGGAGCAATCCTATCGGTGGAGGCGGGTGGTTGCAATGAACAAAGATAGCAAACAATAGACTAAATAACGGCAATTACCACTTCCCCCTCAGTCTATAACAACCATCCGTTTCAACTAATAGGATCTTTCCATTTTCCCTTTGTACTTTTTGTCCAGTGCTTTCCCTATCAATTTCGATTATAAGATCCCTATAATTGATTCGATACAAATTTTTAAAAGCAGTCCGAGACAATGATAACAGTGGAAAAACAAGGGGGGAAAACGGGAAACAAGGCTAAAATACACAATTAATTAAAACCGAGACGTTTCGACTCACAACTGAGTTATTTTCAGTCGGAAATACAATAATTTTTTTTTTTAAAAAACGATGAAAACCAGAGCCCTACATGGTGGTGGCCGGTGGTCTTTTTTCTCGCATACCGGCCACCACCATGTAGGGCTCAGGTTTTCATCGTTTCTTTTATATATAATTGCTTAAAATATATTAATCGAAACTCACCCCATGCTTCTTGGCCAAAATGTAAACGGTGTTCTTCTGAGAGTCCGTTGCTATAATTCCATCGTTGTCACCCGTTAAGTAAGACTGCACCGTGCTCAGGATTAAAGTGGTCGTCACCTCACACTCGCGGATGGAATGTATCCCATTCGCTCGGTTTATGTACAGTAATTTAACTCCTGATTTTCCATATCCGTGCTCGATCATGGATACACCAAGGCCTCTTTCACTTGCAGTGTGCATTTTTATTTCAAATGCTGCCTTTCAGAGTTAGAGATGTATGATAAGAGGATGTTTTAGTAGAAAACCAAGACCTATGAGAATGACAAAATTTGAAATTATTAATTCTCTCAAGAATTTTAAATTTACATTTACATTTACATTAGCGATTGCCGGCAACATGCAAGCGACTCGAATATTTTTCCGATAAATCGCAATAATGCGAATTAGCTTACTTAAGGAAGTTTTGATAGAAAATGGGCTTCAAAAGTGTAGGCTCGGCTTGGAGCGCCTTCAATTAGTATGATACTTCGTGCATTTTAAAGGAGTGAGTTTAGTTGCCTGTCCGATCTAAACATATCTAAGGTCTCGGATTTCACTACACACTCACCTGCGTTTGCCTATTAATTACTACAATGTTTTTACGGAGGAAAATGTGTCTATTCACATTAAAGACAAATGATCAGTGCATTAATCTTGTTCCTTTGTTCAGAAATCAATTATTTTCAATGTATTCAATTGGCTTTAATTTATTCATGTGGCTTGCAAATTGCGGCGATTGTATTTTGCCTGCGACATATATGCATGTTATAATAAATTGAATGAAAAATAGAAAAAAAGAAAAATTTCAATGGTTGATCTGAATCTCACCACAGTGCAAAAAGTTACATCTTATGAGAAACAAGCCTCTTATTTTCCGAAACAAGGTCGAATCGAATCTGTTTAATAGATTTACCTGCCAATTACATGGAACCGTGTTAGCACTCTCCTATTCGGAGCGCTGACAAAAGGGCTTAACTACACTTGAGATGAGATAGGGGTAACATTAAGTTATACATATGGACGACAGCGGACCGATTATTGAAATTGATAGACAAAGCTATAGACAAAGAAGACAAAAAGGATTTGCAGAGATCCTATTGGTGGAAGTGGGTAGTTGTAATGGGCAAAAGAGATAGGCAATAGACTAACAAACGGCAACCGACAAGAGACCCGACAGTTAGTCTATCATTTCCCCTCTTAGTCTGCAACGGCCACCGGTTTCGACCAATGGGATCGCTTCTTACTCCCCATGTCTTCTTTGTCTATCGCTTTGTCTATCAATTTCAATAATCAGCCCACAGGCGACAGGGTTCTTTACGAAAAGTAGTTACGTCTTCATTCCTTGAGGACGACACTGGTCCTGAGATATGGAAATTCAAAAATTTCGATTTACTCTGAAATCAATGGACCGACGCGAGATTTTACCCTGATACATCAAATGGGCTTGAATGGATTAGGTACTTCATTTTCACTGTGGGGTACTGATAAAAAAAAAAAAAAAAAAAAAAAAAAAAAAAAACCATAAAATCTTTAATGCTTACCAATCCTTATCTATTCTCTAAAAATCAAACTTTTCAAAAATTAATTCAACGTGGAAAACTGAAGGTTGCAGATATCCTCAGAAGAAGCGAATCTCTATTTTATTCGTGATATAATTTTTCTAATTTTTATCTCCGTGATTTATTTTGAGTGTCGCTCGAGTATAATTTTAAGTCTCGTGATGTAAGTACGAGTATTAGCTAATTTGAATACATAAGAAAGTGAGTGCTTGAATACCTGATGATGTAATTTGAAGAGATTCTGATCCAACTGATCTGTCGAAAAATTGAACTGGGGCGATGAATGGATTGTTGGAGCGCGCGACAAGTTAATAAAAATACTACTTGCGAGCGATAACGAAGGAGAGTATTTAAACGGATTTTCAATCGATATTAACTGATCGCCAATATTTTCTCGGATCGATTAGAGATTGTTTTTGAAAGCGAATGCACGTCAAGATAAAGGGTGACGCGGAGAGCCTCAAGTCAAGTACGATAACAAAAATAATACGAATTCGCCTTACAGATTAAGAAAAAAAAAATTAAGAGGCTTTGGTCAAGAAGTTACTCTTTTTCCCTCAAGTGGGATACAGCATCTTATAGATAAAAATAAGCGATCTTATGAAACTTTAAAAGTTTGCGCACACTTAAACGCGTTTTCCCCTCTCGAGTATTCGTCGTCCTATCTCAGAAACCAATAATTAAGTTTCAACCCGACGCAAATTTTTACACGACTTAAGTAAGTACGTGCAGCTTTGAGAGCTTACACTCCAATGTCAAGGATAGCGAGCAACACTTCAGCAGAACAACACAAGTTTGTAACCAATAATGGATCACTGGAGGTACGAAATTAAGCACTACGTTATCATTTTTCTCACCGAAGCTTAGCATAGATCACGATACATCAATGATTTCCAAATATAACTTATGAACCAGAAATTGGCTTTTTCTGCATCTGTTCATTCAAACATTCTCGGTCTGAAAAAGAGAGACATGAATAAAAAGATAACGGAGAAAGAAAAGACACGCCGAGGTGAGAAACCTTAGTAAAAGTGAGTCAGCGTAACATCAGACTGACCCACTTTTACTAGGGAAGTTAAGGACAGCTCTGAAAATTTAAAGAACTTCATTTGTGATAAGATAACCAGAACCGTGAGGAAAAAATGGAGTCCAAAATTCTGGACGCTTTTTATTTTTGGTTTGTTTGTTCTATTTTAAGTGAGTTCATAAGAAAAACGAAAGGCTAGTGCAAGGTATTTCACAACCAAATTATTTGCAACTCGCCTTTGTATAAGAAATTGGCACCAAATTTTCAGACAGACCATAATCTTTCAAAGAAGAGCCAAACTTTCGATTTTATCTCGCTGTAATATTTAATTGTCGTTCATTTTTAAATTTAGACACTAAGAAACACACTGAGAAATCATCTGGAATGGGGTCGCACTAAAATCCAGTTACTTTAGCCATTGCAGGAATTGGCCCAGTAAGTTCGCCTTCAATTTCGAGTGATACTATGCCCCGCGCGGGTGATCAAATGATTGCTTCGCGCTTATGTACGATGAGAATAGGTTGGGTTCATTTTTATCTCCTTACTCTCATCCATCCTCATCATCTCCTATCTTTTAGATGTATTTATTGGATTTTCATCACCCTTCACAGAAAAAAATGGATGGTGCTGACGACAGAACCTTTTGTTCATACGGCTCCCACAGTTTCTTTGTTACACTTACAGAACTTTTCTGTTGTGAGAACAGAACTTCTGTCGTGGGAACAGAGTACTCTGTTCCCACGACAGAAAGTTCTGTAAGTGTAACAAAGAAACTGTGGGAGCCGTATGAACAAAAGGTTCTGTCGCCAGCACCATCCATTTTTTTCTGTGTTGACATGCTAAATGAGATTATAGGTTGGGTTCATTTTTATCTCTTTCTTCTCATCCATTCTCATCGTCTCCCATCTTTTAGATGTATTTGTTGGATTTTCATCACCCTTGACATGCTAGAATTGCTAGATGCGTTACTTCAAAAAATTTTTGGAAACATTTTTTTAAAAGTTTTTGCCATTACCTAAAATTGATTTTTTCCTCTTTTTTCTGATAGAAAAAACAATTTTCCTTAGAAATAGGATCAAATGGAATAAGGTGGCATACATTTTGGGGCTTAAAATCGTATCCTTTTTAATGGCATGACCTTTCAACTCGCTGCATGTTCTTACAAAACCACTAAACGTGGTGTGACTTTTTTGGTGGATATCATCCACTTGAGGTTGACCTTTACTCTCATCGGACAGGCAGAAAACCTACCGTAGAGCATTAGTTGGTACAGTTATCTACTTGAAAAACTCAAATTTATCTCGCTCCATAAGTTTTGATAGATATGAACGATGTGTGACTCTCTCGGTAGATATCGTCTCTTTCCGGATAAAGTATCACGAGCGCTTTATGTTCTTGAGGCTTTATGTTGCCAAACTACTCGAACTCGTCCAATTTTTTTATGGAAAAGTGATGAGCAGAATAACTTTAAAAGTTATTTAATATTTATTTTGTCATCAGGATTAATCATTGAATTTTTTTTTAAATTGAGATTTACGGCGTCCAAGTATAACTGGCGCTTGGAATACTTTGACCGCAAGATGACAATATTGTCTACTCGAGTTTCGCCTTCAATTTTGTGTATAGGCAACAAACCTACCGGAGAGCACGATTGGTTTACTGTTTCCTATTCGAAAAACTCGCGCATTTATCTTGTTCTGAAAGTTTCAATGGAACAAGGCTTTCAGGTCTTCATACTTTACGTAAGATAATTACTTAGTCTGATAAAATTATATATAATCTTGCAGAACTGGATTTAGATGGTGGCCATATGGGCTGCCGCTCATGGCGGCAAATTTTGCAATTTTTTTAAATGTAGGTATAAAGAAAATCGGATTCAGAAAATAAATTACAAACGAGAAAAGGCGACAAGATCTCTTATTTTCTGAGTGCATAGTAATTTCTAATTTTGTCGTCTTTGGGTGATACAAGAGACAGCACCTTTAATTAGTCGAGTTAAGAGAGAAACCGAACACGCAATTTGGCCTGGCGAGCGGCGCGGCGCAGAAAGCAATGATGACGAGGACCTGAGATGAAAAGGAGAAGCCCTCGGCGCGGCGGTTGGCATGTAGCACATATTAGCGCCTACAAGACCACATGAATACTTCACGCATTGCGTCAAGCACACTTCGGTCAGCAGCAGTTGGCCCGAAACGCATAGCGCCTACAAGACGGTATGAATACTTCACGCATTGCGTTAAACACACTGCGGTCAGCAGCGGTCGGTGCGAAACACATGGCGCCTACAAGACTGTAGGAATACTTCACGCGGTCAACGCGGCGCGGCGGCGGAAGTTAACCATCTATGGCATAGCGTTACAAATTCGTAACAAAGTATTTTCGGGTTTTTAAAAACTGAATCTTTTCCATGTGCCATGATTATGCAAAATATCAGTAGTTTTTTTCTTTTTTCGAAAAATTGATTCCCTTAACTTTAACATTTTGAAAAAAAAAATTGGTATTCTATTTTTTTAATGCAAGCTACAAAATAGATTAGAGTCCCCTCGAATCTGAGATCCAAAATTAATTCATGCCATAGAGGGTTAAAATTATTAAACCACATTTCTGTTTGTTCTTTCATGATTTTTTCGTTCATTTCTTATAAATGGAAGACCTTGTCCACACAGAGATATAGGTTTACGAAACTTAACTTTCGCGCAAAGCTCCGTGAAATTTTGCTAGTAGTGTTGACACGGCTTTCGCAAAAAAATGTGTCAAATACGAGTAAACGCGTCTTTTGCACCCCTCCCCCCCCGGCACGTTCACTTGATGGTTCTTAATAATGTTTCAAAACGAATGAGAAGGGATAGCGGCAAAATACAGGCGGCCCATGGGCGGCAAGTAGGTAAATTCGGCACTAAAGTCTTGATCATTTTATTCCCCAATGGAGATGTTGCATGTGTCAGGAATTTGCATTTGACTGTTGATTCTTATGTAAAAGTTCGCGAGAAACACGATGGTCCCACTGGTTTTCTCTAAAATTAACTTCTAAGCTCAAAAAAGGCTCTCAAGTTGAGGCCAAAATGGAGGGAATATCGGCCGCATTTGAAGGCGTTTTCAAAAGAGCCAAGTTCCGATACCCGGATTATCGTTTTGCATAGTTCATATTCTTTTGTTTTGTTCCGTACCACTTGTTTATTTTTAATCCTCGAATAAAAACCACCTATTTGCTAAATACAATTCTAGCTGGAGCGCACTTCAGCTAAGCATTCACCACTGCAAAAATGTCAACGGGAATCGACAAGCCCAGCGTGTATGGAGGCTATTTCAATAATTGTAATCTTCCGTTACATTCTTACGGCGCAATGATACAACTATTTGAACTCTCCGGAATGCGTGAGGTATCACGCCGCATTTGAAGGCGTTTTCAAAAGAGCCAAGTTCCGATACCCGGATTATCGTTTTGCAAAGTTCTTATTATGTTTTATTTCCTACCATTTGTTTGTTTTCAATCCTCCTATAAACACTTCTCATTTGCTAAATATAATGCTCGTGGACTTTCCCGCTACTAATGGCAAGTACCCATTGGTACCCATACTCTTTCGTTCTCTGTCGGCGAGGTGTCTAAACTAACCTGTGTTCTAAACTGTCAAATCTCAAAAACAAAACAAACATTGAAATTTTGGCACGAATGTAATGTTCCAATGTGTTCAAAGAAATTGTTATCATTACTGCACAGAAACGGACTTTTACTTCAAATGTGATTCTGTGATCGAAAATTGGCTAGTTCGCGGATGTCAAGCAGTCAAAGTAATTTTAAGTAGTTGTTGATATACTCTTTATCCATGGCTGGCAGTTCCTCCACTATCGTCATATCAGATTCTGAGTCTTCTGATGAAAACAGTGAGGAAGATTCAAGTAAGACTATATATTCAATTAATATTTTTTGTTGTAAGTATAAGTGTATGGTTTCGTGTTTTCATACCCATCATTTGACGGAAAACCAGGGAAGACTGTAGGTTACAGAATAGCATGCACAGATTAAAACGAAGATTTGAAGACGGAGCATTAGAAACTGAAAAAGATAGAAACTTTCATTGGGAACAGTCACAAGACAATATTGTGGGGAAGAGATAAAATCTCGGGTACTCATTTGCGCTATTTAACAAGTTTATGGGACGCGTCTCGGGGTTTGCTACCGGCTGATGATGGGGCCGCCTCGACCCTGAAACGTGCCCTATAAAATTGTTAAATAGCGCAAGTGAGTAAGCAAAATTTTTCTCTTTTTTACTGAAAGATATACCTTGTCAATGGAAGTGACACCCTGCATTATTATGAATGCAACCACCAATTATCATATTCGTTACGAGGCCTGTTGCAAGCAATAAGAGCTCTCTTTTCATCATTGCGTTATTTGGGTAATCCTTGAGTCTTAGCATGCACAAAAAACATGTGAGGCATGCTGCTGCTTGCCGCATCTCTTTCAGTTGTACTCATTGGCTTGAAAGTTAGTCCAAAAATTAATTTACGTAGAAGCAAGATGAAAGATTCTATTGAATCTCATTGTAAAAATTGTCTCTCCTAACATCTGCAATGCTGCAAGCGAAGAGAATTTAGCCATTGACATATTGATTTTTCATTTTATAATGTACTTAGTCTACTATATCAATTTCCATTTTCTGTGTAGATTATAATTCCAGTAGTGAAGAAGAAAATTCTTTTGACGAAGGAGGAAAGTATAATTCATCGCAAGAAGCATCCCAAATCACAGGACCAAGTGCTGAGGAACTCCCCACTTTCTATGCAGATACTCCTAATGATGGCCTCTGCTCTGAATTTAAATCTACTAAGCACCCTTTTTCACCAAGGATTATGCATGTAAGGAAATATTAAGCTTCATATATTGAACACATACTAAGTAGATACTCTTTGGCAGGTTATTTTGTAATGGGGACTTTGGGAGTGCTGAAGAGCTACCTCAGTTCATATCCATCCTTCTTGTAATTTTAGGTTTTCTTGATGTAATAACCTGTAGGGTGCATTAAAAAAATAGGCACCTATGTTTAAAGAGTGCCTTTGCACTAGATACTTACGGAGTAAAATTTGAGAGGCACAAACGTATTTTTTTTTTTTTTTTTTAGGTCTTGGTAGAATTTTTATTTCGTATACAATTAAGCATTGCTCTCTTTAATTTCCCAGTCACTCAAGACAACATTTGGGCTGCACAAATTTCGACAGAACCAATTGGAAGCAGTCAATGCAATCATGCTGGGGCATGACTGCCTCATCATTATGCCCACTGGTGGAGGGAAATCACTTTGCTACCAATTGCCTGCTGTCCTCACAGAAGGATTAACACTGGTCATCTCACCTTTACTTTCTCTAATGAAGGATCAGACAGCCAAACTTAAATCTCTAGATGTAAGTAACATCTCCAAAGTTAGATGAACCTATCCTAAATCTTTAAAAATCCCTGTAACGAATCAAAGATCCTTCTACTTATTCTACACGGGGTCTGACATGGTTGCTTCATTGACGCATCCCAACCGATTCAAATTCTTTCCTCCTCTTCTCTCTATGAGAAAATAAATCTCAGGAATTTCAGTACCGTCCCTACAGAAATTCTATCTGATACTTTTGTTTTTTCATTCCACAATTTAATTTCTAAGTTTTGCACTCTTGGCCAATTCAAGCTGTATTAAAAGGGTAAGTATTAGTAATTCTGGAAACTTTATTATACTTTCTGGAAACCTTATACGGCTACATTCTTTTTTTCTCTTACAAAATTGTTGCTATGATTTTAGATTCCAGCTGGTGCTCTTAATAGCAGCATGGATAATGAAAGTATCAACTCTGTCTACAAGAATTTAAACCCTACAAACCCAAGTAAGGATCGATTTTTTTCATATTAAATCCCTCTTTTAGTAAGGTATTTGACTGCAATACGTGCCAGAAAAAATGAACTTCAGGGGAAAAAAATCTTTCTGTTAACTAAATTCACGAAGCATAAATCCATAACTTCTCTCTCAGATTTCCTGAGTGAAAGTAAATACTTACACACAGAGTAGCAAAACAGGTTTGTCTACAATTCTTTTTTCATTGTTCGATCAAAAGTTTAAAAACTCACTGGTACAGTCCGCACCACCAGGACACCCTCTCCAGTATATTATCTAGGTGTGCATATGCAAGCAAGCATATTAAAAAAAAACCTCTCCATTTTCCCCTTTTGTTCCTTAAAGCTCTTACAAAAGGAAGGTATAAGATGACATACTGGTATTCCGTTCATTTTCAGTGTACATTAAAATTAGACAAACAGCCGCACCTCCCAACCATTGTGGTTGCTTGGCAACGTCTCACTATACATAATTATTTAAGCCAAAATTTTATAAGCCTTTGGATAAACTTATCAGTTTTTTATCTCACCGCAACTGCTTTTGAGAAAAAGTGAAAAAACCACTGTGATTGGGGGGAAGAAAGTTCTAGTCCTCACTTCCAAGTAATATGAGTGAAAAAAAGGCTTTTCTACTTGTCAAGAGCTTAAAAAAATCATTGGCTCCACAATTTTCACCATGGACTGGCTGGCCCTCAGCCTTTTGGTTCTGGTTTGACTTCCTCCCAATCTGTGTACTTTTAACAGTGCGAAGCTTGACAACCCTCATTCTTCACATTCAAAATTTTACACACAACTGTAACTGAGTACATCTTGATTGTTTTTTGTTGTGCAAAGGATTGAAGCTTTTATACATTACACCAGAAAAATTATTTGCAAGTGGTCAAAGCAGTGAAAGGTTACGAAACACCCTTCAAGACTTACACCATAACAAAAAATTAGATCGCATTGCCATCGATGAGGTTCACTGCATTTCAGAATGGGGTCATGATTTTAGGTAAGCTTCTTTACCATCATCTTCTTACCTTTTCAGAACACTGTGAAGACTTGTTTTGTTAGTCCCCACTGTAATATTTTATCTGGCTGTGTGAGTCAATTTTTCCCTCCATAGTGAAACTTAAATTCGGCAAGGCAACAAAATCAATTATGTATTGTAAGTAATCAATAAAGTGAATAATTGATTTTATATTAGGTGTAGCTTTGCAGGTCTCTAGCCATCATCAGAGTGTCACGAACACTATTCACATGTGAGTCGTAAAAAAACATCTATTAAGTGTTTTTAAATTTAACGATAAAACACTAATTACAAACTGGCTTCAGGCCAAGTGAAAGTATTTCACCCATTATGAAGAACCTTGATCAAACAAGCAAAGCGCATACTCTTTTATCGGTCTGTCTTCATCTACATTTATTCTCCACTCATTGTCAATGTAAATACAATGATTTATCATTGCGTAAAACTTCTCCTTTCAGTCAGTCGCGCATCCCAAGGGTTGATTTTATAACTCTCTCAAGATTCTTTTCTTTTATAACCAACGTTTATTTTTATTTGAAATGTTCCTTCAATTTGCAGGCCAGATTACAAAGAATTGTGTGTACTCAATGATAATTTTCCTGGCGTTCCCATCATAGGCTTGACAGCTACAGCTACCCCGAGAGTTCGCAAGAATATTGTAAATTGTCTAAATCTGTCGGATCCGAAATGGTAATAGTGTTTTCAATATCTTCTCTCTTTTATTCGTAGGAAGTTCATCTGTAATAATTGATATGGCTAATGGCTCAAGTTTTAGATAATGAACTCTAACAACTCAATAGGTATTTCTCACTAAGTTGCCATTAAAAACACCATTGAAAACAGAAAGTTTTAAATTTATGTCTTACACGAGTCTTCTGGTATGGATGGCTTTAAACAGCATTTTCTACAGATAAGGCACCATGAGGTCTAGCTAAGTTTTTTACCTATTTAAAAAGAGAATTCAGTTCCTTTATATTGAGTTTTTGTGAATTTCAGCTCAACAGGATCGATTTTTTACAGAACGCACACACAACTTAGTTAATTGTAGACTTGTTAACTTTTTGATTGTTTATTAATTAGATTTTAATTTGTTAAATTCAACTATTAATAACTCTCATTTTACATCAAAAGTTAATTTTATCAACATCGAATATGAGAATCCATTTGTGATAGTGCACAGTAAAAGGCACCATAGTCCACAAAAACTCAGAATTGAATTATTGATACCAGAGCATGAAGGAGCATTTCGTCTGCCAATTTCTTTTCTAGGCAATGATATCAAATTGTTTTCTTATTCCCTCTTTCCAAAAATTGCGATTTCAATCAATTATAAATCATGAAAAATATCAACATTTCTTCAGTGAAAAATTGGACCTCCGTTCTGTAAATAAAATATGCGATTCTAGCTTATCGTCTCAGGAAAACTTGCGTAAAGTTTTGCAGGACCGTCCCCTCTTCTTTTGTAGAAAGTCTGTCAGCCACGTGCTATGTGCTGAACAGCATCCATAGTATATGTTATTTGTTTCTCTGTTCAATAGGTTTTTATCTAGTTTCAATCGACCAAATTTGAAATATCAGGTTGTTCCAAAAATGAAAAATGCATTGAATGAACTAGTTTTTGTAATCAAGAGTCAATTCTTGGGAAAGTGTGGAATCGTCTATTGCTTTTCAAGGAAGGATGCAGATGATGTAGCTAAAGCACTTAACTCGGTTGGTTTGAAAGCAGTCAGTTATCATGCAGGGCAAGCTGATAATCAACGAGAACTATCCCAAAATAAATGGACTACTAATAAAGTGAATGTAAGTCCTGAATTTCTATGACAATCACCTAGTGTTTTTTTGAATGGTACTGTTGAACCTCACTGTATTACTCAGCTTGACTTGAATCTAAGATCAAGGTAATGTGCAAAGAAATGGCTCTCGATCTAACTCTCTCAGAGCCAGTCCTTGGTTTACGTTGATAGGCCATCAATAATTTGAGTTTGAGTAGTTTGTTTTCCTGAAAGAGGTTACATTTCAGGATAAACAATTTTTACCTCAGAACTATCATAATCTCACAGCTGCATCCTATGGATTCTAAAATTTAGAAATTATGATTCCGGTCGAACTTTTATCAAATGTTTGTTTACTACATTCTGTCACTTAAAAATCGTGTTCATACATGATCCATATAAAGTGAAATGAAACAAAATGACTGTTTAAAAATTAGGTAAATGCATAGTCAGGTTAGTGGTGTGAGTTTAAAGTATTGTATTTTTTTTCTTATCCAATCTTTAAATTACTAATTGTCAAAATTTGATTATACGCTTTACTTATGAGAAGAGACAATAAAATTGAAGTTACCTCTTACCATTTTTTGAAATTGCTAAAAAAAAAAAAAAAAAAAAAAAAAAAAAAAAAAAAAAAAAAGTTGGGGGTTTAATTTTTTTGTCGTTTTTCATAAAGCTGGAGTAGGATTCAATGTTTTTATTCAAGCATTAATTTTTCTCTTCCTCTGCAGATCATATGTGCCACCATTGCATTTGGAATGGGCATTGATAAACCTGATGTGAGGTTTGTCATACATTATTCAATGCCAAAATCGATTGAAGGATATTATCAAGAAACTGGTCGGGCAGGGAGAGATGGAAAGCTTGCCTCCTGTATTTTATTTTATTCAAAGACTGATTCTCAAAAAATTATTGGATTGATTTCTAGTAAGTTCAAAGTCAAGTCTGTTTTCACAAAAATAAATACTTATCGTTCAAAAACAATGGGAAAAATGAAACACTCCGAAATGAGAATACAGTAAGGTGTGTTAAGAGTCCATGTTTCTTCAGTATGTCAATGCTTTATAATAGCAGATTGGCAACTTGGCAATCTGCTATGAGCATCAAATGGGTGCTCCATCGTTTGCCTGTACAATCAATTTCGTCATGAACTATTTTAGCTTAATTTTAAGGAAAATCATCTTATGGAAGACTTGTTTATAGATTCAAATCTGATGCCAGCCTCTTACTTTTCATCCAAATAAATTAACTTCAACTGGTTTCAGAACATTTCAACTCATCCCACTCCTCCTTAAAATCTACTTCTGATATTGTGGAAAATTGGATGATTAATTTTTTTGATCCAGCAGTAATTCATAAAAATGGCAAAATCAGCTTTGAGTCATTTCACCACTCATTATGAAAGTTAACAAAACTTTTTATTTTCCATGCCTTTTTAATTCAATCACAGAGGGAAAAGTAAAAATTTGCTCTGTGCTCATGGGCACTCAGACTGGACTTCGGTAATAAGTCAACCATATAAAGTTAACTTGTTAATTGCAAAAAATTTTAAAAGTTGTTTAAAGCTAATTTTTATACAGGAAAAATTTTATAAGTGCCTGATGTACGGTGTTTATTTGCGAAATTTGAAAAGGAATCTGACTGTGAAGGATATACTGTATCACTCAAACATCAGAATAAAATGAGTCATGGCGTAATGTATTCCTCCGAAGCTAATGCTGAAGATGAAAACTAAACTAAAAGCTAACTAAGTATTGCTCAATTTTTATTTTACTTGTGTTTGTACAGTATCAAAAGGAACTCAGCAGGTGAAAACTGTACAGAAAGAAAGTCTCCAGAAAATGGTGGCTTTCGCTGAAAATCGGACAGATTGTCGGAGAGAAATGCAGTTGAACTACTTTGGAGAAATTTATGATTCAAAACTATGTAGCAAGAATCTGGCATCCGCCTGTGACAACTGTCTAGGAGAGGTATGTAAATTTGACTTTTTTTTTTTATAATGTTAATATTGTCGAAGGTGTATAATTCAATATGTATTTTCTAAGAAAACTACGAATAGATACACTAATCATTTCGAGTTGTGGAGCATTTCCAAATGGCTTAAATTTTGCTTCCTCCAGGCTTTCTCTTTAAGAATCAAAATTCAACTTCTGAATAAAAAAATGCACATTTTTCGAATATCGGGTTTTTTTTTTTTAACCCAGTAACCAGCAAATTTCTAATTATTGTTGCCAGAGTTTCCACTATACAGTTGAACTTGATTTTCGATTTTATTTCTTTTTTCCATCTTCATTCAAGATTGTCGTAAAAATTAATCTCATAACTGTTTATTTTAGGGATCCTTGATAAAAGAAGATGTCTCTGATGAAGCCAGAAAGGTACTGATGCTGGTTCACAATCTGGAAATCAAAAAACGAAGGAATTCCTCATCTAGTCTCTCTTCACCGAAAAAAGAAAAGCCTTTATCTTATTCTCTCAGTTATATCGCTGACGTTTTCCAAGGTCTTAAAACAGATAAAATCATAGCTGCAGGTCATGACAAACTTCTTCTTCATGGCGAGGGTCATCACTGGAGCAGAGCAGATGTTGAGCGGTTAATGAACAAGCTACTGGTTGAAGGATATTTGCAAGAAGAATTATTTGGAGCAGGAGAAGAAATTGTTCAGTCATATCTTAAGCTTGGTCCCAAAGCTGACGAACTTATCAATGGGCAGGACAAAGTGAGTGCAGCAGCTTCTCAGCATATAAAGCTACTCAGCACTCTGAGTATATATACATATCAGTATTATTATATTTAATATCAAAATATCATATTTTCATCGTGCGGTCAACACCTAACGGCATAATACATGTTTGAATTCAATTCCTTTTGTTGCCTACAGAATACTCGCTTTCCCTGATGAATCTCTATTTTCTTAAAATTATGGAGCTATTTTGGTGAAAAGTCCAAGTGGTGTATAAACGCTATAAAAAGCTTGAGACATTAATTTCTAGGTCAAAAGAGGACCAGGAATCTGTGAGTGATGTTGAGAAGCTGGGCAGCCCATTTCACAAAATTTTGCCCGAGCACACGTAATTTTTTTAACATTGTGCAGAATGCTACTAATGCTAATATGGGATATTTTTCGAGCAGCGAGTGATGAGTAGGTGGTTGGTTACATTAAGTTTGATATCATTTTTAAGATTTGAAGTATTTGATAACCAAAAGAATAATTTTCTCGCAATCATGTTCAACATAGATTTTTTGGAGAAGATTTGATAATACATCGAATAAAGTACTAATAGTCTCAAAATTCGAAAATCATATTTTTTTACAAAGCTAAAAATATGACCTTTACAACAGAATGAATGCATTTTTGATAGTATCATTAGTTGCAGAGTAAAAGCTTATGGAAGAGCCTTCTTGCAACCCACTTAAAAAGTAGTAGGAAATTTGAAAAGAAAATTGTTTGAGGTGTCTCCGAAAAAGATCGATTTCTGAGTGATTGATTTGCTAAAAAACAATAATGAATATGTTAGCTGAAATACCTTTTGTTTCAATGGTTCATTTGAAGTATTTTCAAGTATAGTTGTTCCTGAAGAAGACAATCGTGAAACTTATTTCGTGAGCGATCCTCGTAGTACATGACATACGTGACTGTTGGAATTTTAACTTGTCAAATAGATGTTTCTCATGCAGAAAAAAAAGTAAAGCAGCCTATTGATAATTAGACCAGGAAAACACACTGTCATACTTTGTTGTCTCAATGACGATAATCTTAAGCAGATCATCAGTATCACCAAGGAGTTTCCTGTAATTGGTCTTCACTTTTTAAAGAATACAAGCATATTTTTAAGTGTGGGATTAGTCACCCAGTGCTACTTGAAAATTGGGGGGAAAAAATTCTCTGAAAAAGAAACACCCTGGGCAGTTGTGTTTATCTTTTAACCTCGTTTACTTATACATTTTTGTTTTCTTTTGTATACACTTACAGTTTTCGTTATTTTGATTGTTCATAGATTGAATTGGCGAAAAGTATTTCAACAACCAGTGAACTTGATAATAGTATTGCCGCAAAAATGACAGATACTTTATCAAAAAATTCCAAGCTCATGGAATTACAAGAAGAATGTTTTGAAGCCCTTGTTGAAGTATGTCAAGAACTTGCCAGTTCTAGGGAAATTCCTCTGGCATCTGTAATGAGTATGCAGGTAAAACATCCCATTACTAGTCTAATCACTCTTTTTGCTTAAATTATTTTTGCATGTATTCCACTTCAGCTACGTCTATTCAAGTACAATGACCATTTTAAATCTTCAAGAGAGTTTAATTCAAAGATTGTAAACTTATTTTATCAAGAAGCTTATTTTCCTGATACTAGAGCACATTTTTATACTTACCAAGGTATGTAGTTTGAATGAAATATACAATAATGGCCAAAGTGCGAAACGAATTTAACTCTGTTTGCAACGTTGAAGACTTCTTGTCATACTTTGTTTGTGACCTAATATCGTGAATAGAGTCCTAATCCTCTGTTCACTTCTCATGCTCTCACTTTATAGTAGGAAAAGATATATGCTTGAGCCAAGTATTTCTATTCAATTTTCACTTTGACAAAAGCATAGACTGCATTTCATAAGAACGCATAATTTTAATACCTGTAACATTACTTTTTTCAGTCACTAAGAACAATGTCAGAAGTTTTGCCAAGGTCAGAAGAAGAAATGTTAGAAATTGATGGAGTAACTTACGCTAATTTTTCAAAATTTGGCGATCCATTCCTTAGATGCACCCAAAATTTTGCTACCAAAAAATTAAGTGAGTACAAAATTGTTTACCTTTGTTTTTCCTGTTTTATTGTCATTAGGTAGTGTGGAACTTTGTTTACCTGTCATCAGACAGGCAGGGATGCTAAAAATTCTGGATCTCGTGATTTATGGATTGTTGCAATGGTGAGGCAAATATTAGGTTGTGAGCCAAATCTCGAAAATGATGAATTTTTTTAATACAATAATTTTATTTTATGTTGATTGGTGGTCTCTATTGATAAGCAGGGTTGAGTTTTAATGTTATTAATCATCTTAAAATCATGATATCGTCAAGCAATTTTGATGCATCAGGATCAATATATTGTGCTAAAACTCAATTTTTTGTTAAGTTAATAAATTTTATTCGGTCAGATAACGAGAGATCTTTAAGGAGGGGTAAAATGTAACTATTGCTCTTTTCCCCGCAGTCCTTAGCTTGAGGCTCCAAGGAGTGTAAAATGTGGAGCCATGATAGCTCAGTTAGAGGTGATGAGCTGTCATTTTTGGATTTCAATCCCGATTTTGCTGGCTTGGTTTATCTTAGAGGGTCTGAAGCATTGTTTGTCAAGATCATGGCTATCGATCACTTAGTCCTTGAAGACTATCGACTGAAGGTTCCATCTACTGGTGTCTGTAAAGTACGTTCTGATAAAAGCAATATCCAAACAGTTGGAAATTATTTATTTTTTTGGATTTAGTAGAATTTTCTACAAGTCCCTGGAAGATTCAGGATGAATCCTGAGAATGTCAAATCAAGAGAATTAATCTTGGATTATTTTTTTGTCATGTGCTTTAGCTCACAGGGTACCGGAAAATATTTGTTTTTCTATATCATGGTTACATTTTGACTCTAATGAATCTAATTGAATGAATGCACTGAAAAAAATAATATGCTGTTTTAGCATCTAGGATGTCAAAAATGTGTCTGGTGATCCCAAGATGCTGCCTTTACTGCCCCCGCAGTTAACTTTACATCCTGTGAATGCAAATTCAATTGCGTGGACAATCAAGACAGCATCTTAGGATCACCAGACACATTTTTGACATCCTAGGTGCTAAAGCAGCATACCATTTTTTTCAGTGTGGGCGACAAAAACCTCTAATTACTGGGGGTTTTATTCAAAGTTTTTTAAAAGACGTTGAAAAAGTCTTGAGAAAGTTTGAAACCAGCTTTAAAACTCTAAAATTTGAACTAAAATTAGTTTTGATATCTCTGGATAAGGAAATATTAGTTTTTTAAGGATCAGAACAGAACACTTGGTGATGAATAATTGTGATTTAATGTAATTAGGGATGTGGATAGTTTGGGCCTTCTGTTCTGAGCATGAGAAATACGATGGCATACACATTAGCATTTGACAAACAAGAGCAGTCTCCCAGTCGTTCTTTGCAGATATCACAGAAATTTCTTATCAAAGAGGAGACTATATGCAAGACATGAAGACCATCCAGTCTGCTTAAACCAAACTTCTTATAATGGAGAAATAATTTTAGATCTCCTTTATAGGACAATTAGTCTAGTATAAGGTTGACAGCAGAGGGTGGATGAAGAGAGCTGGAGGTGTTGTTTGCCTGATGATCTCAGGGAGGCTTGATTTCATGTCGCCCTGTTTGCAAGTGTGCTGATTTAGCAACTTCTGTCCGTGTCGGTAGCCCACTATTCAGATACAGGTATAGAAAATAGTAAAAATTTTATCATCTAAACTGGAGAACTTAGCATGTCGAGAATACTCTTTCTTTTCAAATTATCATTACTACAATTAAGATATTACTTAGTCATGCTTTAGGGAATAAAATAATATTTGTCGTAATCAGTTGATCTGGATTTAATCTTTAAAATAATACCAAAATCAAATCTCTAAAATGCTCAGCATTGAAAAATGAATCCGTATATTAACTTTAGAGCACCGTGTGTATCTATGGTTTATTTTTTATTTTTTAGTCTTGGAGCACCAGCAAGCAGAGGTGAGGGAATCATCATCTAATATGGTCTTTAAATCTACAAAACGAAAGTACAAAAGGAAAAGAAAGCATCGGAAAAGGAAGGGATCAGGGAAGAAAAGGGGTCCAAAAGCAAAGCGGCAGAAGAGAAAATAAGTTTATTTGTCTTCATGAATGTATTTATAAGTAGGAATATTATTGTACTTGGCTGAACATCAAATTTAAAAAAATGATAGAGAAAGAACGGACTAAGTCAAATGCTCATGTAATCTATTTCAGATTTCAAATATTTTAAAAGTGTGCTTTTCCAAACATGCAATTTCTGAAGCACTTGAAGCCAACTAAATGTTCAAAATATTTGTTTTAAAATATTACGTATGTGCTGTGAACTTCATGTGATCTGTAGTTTAGTCAATCAGGAGAATTAAGCTCATATTTTTGTTTTCCCCCAAGAAACTTCTACACTGTAACTTTCCAACCAAATCCAAAAAGATTAAAAATTACTTTGATTGGCTGATGAAAAGTTTAATGTGATTTTGTAGAGCTGAAAATTAAGCTTTTAAGTCAATTGATTTTGTCAAGTTTTCTTTGAAATAAGTTTTGTCACCTAACGAGTACTGACCAAACTGTATTAAGGTGAATCTTTAGCATTAGTTTGGGAAAAACCACCATACAGTGCTACAAAAATCTGACTTTGAAATCAGCAATCATTTTAGGACCATGGTTAACGGATTGAATTCTGACCTTTAAAGATAAATTCTTATAAGAATTTCAACACTTACAAATTTTAATATATATGAGTCGCAAACAAAGAGGCGTATGCAAAAACGACATTTTTTGCCCCTCCCTAAAACTTATTCAAACTTCGTCTATCAGTTACTAATACTGGAGCGCTTCTTTCCCCAAATTTTCAGACCCCCAAAAAATTTTGGGGGGGCGCTAGGGGGGGTGGAAGTCAAAACCTGCGACACTCGATATCTTCCGAACGAAACAAGATATTGAGGCCCGGTTTGGACGAAAAATCGTCTAAAATTGCATACTTTAAGATCCTAAAGGTCAAAATCCCAAAATTAAATTTTTAACTTAACTTATGTGCTTTTTTCAGTTTTTGAGGAAAAACAATTTCTTTTAAACAGATTAAACTGAAATTTCACATTTTTTGATTTGAACCAAAACCAGTTTTTTAAATTGTTCGTCTTTTTCCGCATCCAACGAGTGGTCGTATAAGCTGGGGAACCGAACGGTTCCGGAGTTATGATCGATTGAAGTTTCCGCTCAACGCGCGCCGACCGATTTTTGCGCGCAAAAAAGTCGGATTTGACTGTTATCAAATCAGATTTAATGTTCAAACTGAGCAAAATGCATTATTAGGGACTTTTGAGGGTCGCTGAGTCCAGAAATTACAGATACTTCCAAAAAATTCACGTTTTTAAAATTACAGCTCCGTAGCACTATTTTAGAGGCCCACTGAGCGCCGACCGGCCGCTCAGTGGTCCTGTACGAAGCTGTAATTTTAAAAACGTGAATTTTTTGGAAGTATCTGTAATTTCTGGACTCAGCGACCCTCAAAAGTCCCTAATAATGCATTTTGCTCAGTTTGAACATTAAATCTGATTTGATAACAGTCAAATCCGACTTTTTTGCGCGCAAAAATCGGTCGGCGCGCGTTGAGCGGAAACTTCAATCGATCATAACTCCGGAACCGTTCGGTTCCCCAGCTTATACGACCACTCGTTGGATGCGGAAAAAGACGAACAATTTAAAAAACTGGTTTTGGTTCAAATCAAAAAATGTGAAATTTCAGTTTAATCTGTTTAAAAGAAATTGTTTTTCCTCAAAAACTGAAAAAAGCACATAAGTTAAGTTAAAAATTTAATTTTGGGATTTTGACCTTTAGGATCTTAAAGTATGCAATTTTAGACGATTTTTCGTCCAAACCGGGCCTCAATATCTTGTTTCGTTCGGAAGATATCGAGTGTCGCAGGTTTTGACTTCCACCCCCCCTAGCGCCCCCCCAAAATTTTTTGGGGGTCTGAAAATTTGGGGAAAGAAGCGCTCCAGTATTAGTAACTGATAGACGAAGTTTGAATAAGTTTTAGTGGGGGGGCGAAAAATGTCGTTTTTGCATACGGCTCTTTAAACTTACAGAAAGCTCTTTATTCTTTTTGTTTTTATTCACTCAACCGTATTCAGCAATGGCTGCGCATCTTTGGTGAAGTACTTAAAATTAGTTTAAAATACTTTAATTATTAAGAAGTGTTGGAATACCACATAAGTGTTTTTAGAATGTGTCCAAAATGACAACCAAAATAATGGAAGAAATTCACAGGGATTTCAAAGAAATCATACATTTGAGTAGAGTGTGCATGAGAGAAGCATAAAGGACAGAGGGTCAAAATTGCCTCAACTCCAAAGGACGAAGTGTCCACTGAACAGTTTCACACTATTCAGGGTAAATCACAAGTATTTTAAATTCATTTCAGAAGTTTATGTTTGAGCGTAAGTTCAAGGGCACACCCAAGGTTAAATGGTTAATTATTTGGCTGCCTTGGGTCCTTTTCCTTTAGTAGAACGGCTATGACTGGTTCCTCATTGTTGTTTGTGTGTTTGTCGTTAATTGTACGGAATTCAATCTGTTTCTTATCAGAATATATCAGTATGCTGTTATTTGGTGTATTATTTTTTCATTTTCTCTGTCGCACCCTGATCATATTTATTCTTTCTTTTCTTTAAAGCAAAAGTGATCAGTTTTTGACCAGTACCAAAATATTCTTCTCATCAGTTGGTATCAGTAAATATGATTATCACCAATATTTATCATCTGTGCTCTGGCAATAAACGAGCAATGAATTTTATTCAGGATGTATTCTTATTCATTGCAATCAGCCTTATATGAAATAACTCGTTTGTATCTGAAACTCTTTGCTCTCATTCCATCTCTCAACAGCCAACAGTCCAATGCCAAACATTTTTGTTCAGCGCTTTAGGTACCTATTCATTTCTTAATCTGTGCTATCTCTTAACTTACAAGAGACAGTAGGAAGCCGTTGTCCATGATAACCGGAAATAACCAGTCACCAAGACACAGAAAATCTACTTCTTTTCTCGAAATCACAGTTTGTTCCTCAACTTGTAGTCGGGCTAGTTCAGAAGTTCTGCGGGAATCTTCTGTTCTGTACTGTCTGTCATTTGTCGTTTCTTTATTTTGACTTCGTAAGGGCCAGCTAACTTCATTAGAAGTGAGAATTCGAATTTCAACTTCTCGTACTTCAGATCAGTGGTCAACTCATAATTTAATATCATTGATGAAACTACAACTCGTAACTGGTTCATTGCATATCTGTAACCTGCAAATGAAAAAAAGTTGAAATTTATTCGTATGATAGTAATTGTTTCTTCAAAAAATCGATTTACTTGCTGATTAAAAAACCATAGGATCAATGTTTTTAAATGTCGCATTTCAACTTCGGTTTGATGATCCAGAAACAGGCGATTTTTTGGCTTCTTTAGGGGACTTCTACCTGTCAGAGAAAACCTTTGGCATTTTTAGAAGCTTAAAACTTAAAAGTGAAATATACCAAACAAACGTTACTCATAACTTTTAAGTTATGGTCCCTTCAAGGTGGCGCATTCATTTTTGAATTCTTTTAAATTCATATGGCTCATCTACCTACTTGAAAAAATACCTACTTTCTCTCTTTATTTAGTGATAGGTACCTTTAATTTGAATTTTACATGGCTGTGAAATCAGAAAAGAACCCAAAATTTATTGTATCAGAAGGAATGATTCCACCTAATTTAAAGAAATCAAACAGCTTCAATGAAAATTTCGTTTTAACGTATGACAGATTACAAGCATGGAATCAACTTTCCAGGGCCGAATTTACCTTCTTGCCGCCCATGGGCCGCCTGTATTTTGCCGCCCCTTCTCATTCGTTTTGAAACATCGACACAAACCATAAAGTGAACGTGCCGGAGGAGGAGGGGTGCATAAGACGCGTTTACTCGTGTTGGGCACTTTTTTTGTGAAAGCCGTGTCAACACTAGCAAAACTTCACGGAACTGTGCGCGAAAAGAAAGTTCCGCAAACCTGTTTCTGTGGGACAAGGCCTTTCATTTATAAGAAATGAGCTAACAAACATGAATGTGGTTTAATCATTTTAATTTCTGCCACCGAACCAACCGCATTGTATTTGGCGCAATGTGTGAAGTATTCATACAGTCTTGTAGGCACCATAAGTTGCACGCCAACCGCTGCTGACCGCACTACGTTTAACGCAATGCGTGAAGTATTCGTGGAGTTTTGTAGGCGCTAATATATGTGTTTCATGCTGACCGACGCGCCGAGGGCTTCTCCTTTTCATCTCAAGTCCTCGTCATCATTGCTCGCCGCATTGCCCGCGCCGCTCCGGGCCAAGATGCGTGTTTGGTTCCTCTCTCAACTAGACTAATGAAAGGCTCTGTCAAGAGCATTCCAATGTCGCTAACCTTGCAAACATAAACGATCACCTAAACTAGTTTCACCTCTACTCCCAATAAACTATGAATTCAAGACGAAAATTACCGTCGCAAAGTTTACTTTTTGCAAAGAATGTACCTAAGTTGCACAATCCCAGCAACATTGAAATGCTCTTAGTTCCTTTTTGCAAAATGCGATCCAATTGGTTGTTGCTGCAAAAAAGTAGTTTTCCACAACCTGCTATACAATGCTCCAGTGACCATGTAAGTTGGCCCCAGCACTAACTTTTCGGGAAGAAAGCCTTTCCCCTACCTGGTTTCTCACTTAATATTCGCCCGAGTTTCGCATATCTTCCGTTTCTCCTCATCGCAGCTTCCATCAAACTGCAATTGCCCGGACACTAGGACCGCACATCTTATCTGATAAAATCGTGCGCCCTTTAGACCGATTCTGAGGGGTTAGGCTAGACTAGTCGATGAGTCAACTGTTGATCTAATTTCATTACGTGAACGTATAGAAGAAAAACGGGGTAAAAAATCACTTACGTGTGATCAATTTTCAAGGACAATTCTTTAATTTCTCCTACGATTTTAAATAGATTAAAACGCGTAATATCCAAAATCTAAGCTCAGATTCGGATTCCTCGAGAAAAACTGATGCGATTTCATGCATCAAATTTTAGAATAGCGTGAAGGAAAGAGGTTTAATGACGTAAAAAAACACTAATGTGTGATCAATTTTCAAGGACAATTCTGTGAATTCTCTTACGATTTTAAATAGAATAAAACGCGTAATATCCAAAATCTAAGCTCAGATTCGGATTTCTCGTGAAAAATTGATGAGATTTCATGTATCATATGTTAGAATAGCGTGAAGGAAAGAGGTTTAATGACGTAAAAAAACACTAATGTGTGATCAATTTTCAAGGACAATTCTGTAAATTCTCTTACGATTTCAAATAAAACGAAACGCGTAATATCCAAAATCTAAGCTCAGATTCGGATTCCTCGTGAAAAATTGATGAGATTTCATGTATCATATGTTAGAATAGCGTGAAGGAAAAAGGTTTAACGACGCGTATAGATTCTGTCGTACTTCCCCTTTGAACTACGCCGCCGCCGCCGGTCGCCCGAGTGAAACCGAACAGGGAGGCGCCACTTAAGCGCCGGCTAAGCGTTCGGTTTCGTCGCGAGGAATTTCTCACGATAAATTCTTATTCTTCCTCCTCCGCTGACCCACTGAGCACTACCCATGTTGCCACGTTGGATTCATATGCTCGAATCAGTATGTCTACGTTACGTCTCTTTCCTTCACACTATGCTCGGGTATGATACATGAAATTGTATCAATTTTTAACGAGGAATCCGAATCTGAACTTCGATTTTGGGTATCACGCGTTTTAAGTCAAATTTTCCAAATTCGAAAATTTGAAATGACTGACGTGGCTTAAAATGCCATCTCGGCTCCTGTTCGATGGATTTTCCTGAAATTCGGTGTCAGGGTATGATACATGAAATCGCATCGATTTTTTACGAGGAATCTGAATCTGAACTTCGATTTTGGGTATCACGCGTTTTAAGTAAAATTTTTCAACTTCAAAAATCCGAAATGACTGAAGTGGCTTAAAATGCCATCTCGGCTCCTGTTCGATGGATTTTCCTGAAATTCGGTGTCAGGGTATGATACATGAAATCGCATCGATTTTTTACGAGGAATCCGAATCTGAGCTTTGATTTTGGGGATCACGCGTTTTAAATCAAAATCTGTCAAAATTCAAAAAACTCAAAATTCGAAAATCCGAAATGTTGGATGTGGCCTAAAATGAGCCCCGGTTCTAGCCTCCGTTTCTGTTCGTTAGAGCTTTGTGAACCGCGGGATCAGGGATACTTTTCGACGGGAAACTCGAAATTTTAGTCGATTTTTGAAAATTCTCAAATCCAAGACGGCGGACGTGGCCTAAAATGCTATGTCGGCTCCTGTTCGATGGATTTTTTTGAAACTCGGTGTCTGAGGGTATTTTTCGACCGGAAACTCGAATTTTTACTATGTTCAAGAATTCTCAAATCGAAGATAGCGGACGTCGCCGAAAATGCTACGTCGGCTCCTGTTCGATGGATTTATGGCGCCCCCTTACTACATGCCTAAGGCTCTTGTATTTCTGTACAGCCGCAAATTTAGGGTCAAGGGGCGCCTGACCGTCTATGGACCAGGTGGAGTTTTTGTCCTGAAAATTTACCTTTAGACGGCAATTCTCTTTATATTTTGTCCATGGTTTTTATGCCCCTCCCCCTTTCTCGCTTTTCTTATGCCTCCTTTTTCCTTCCATTTCCCCCCTTCTTCCTTGCTTTCACTGCCCAACCTTGTTTCCTTTTCCTTTTTTCCCATTGTCCTTTCTTCCCTTTTTTTCCTTTTTCTTTTCCCCCCTTTTTTCCCTCTCTTCTTCTTTCGTGGCGCCCCCCAAAGGCTGGCGCCCGTGTGCGCCGCACGCTGTGCACACGCCCTAAGTCCGGGCCTGTCTCTGTCTCTTGGATCACCGAAAGACGAACAAATTAGAAATTACTATACTCTCAGAAAATGAGAGATTTTGTCGCCTTTCTCGTTTGTAATTTTTTTTCTGAATCCATTTTTGTTTTCGATACCTACATTTGAAAAAATAGCAACATTTGCCGCCCCCTAAATTTGCCGCCATGGGCCGCGGCTCATGTGGCCACCTCCTAAATCCGGCCCTGTAACTTTCATCAATCCATCAAAAGCGATAAGTTTAAAGGACTCAAAGTTACTTTAGAAATAAGTACCTGGACATTTTCTGATTCCTGTGATAAACGGGATGAACACATTTGGTGGTCTTGCAGCAACATTTTCTGGTAGAAAATGATCGGGGTAGAAAGCTTTCGGCTTTTTCCAATATTTTGGATTCTTATGCATTACATTCACACACAAGGCTAATGAGGTTTGTGGCGGAATAACCAGATTTTTACCTGAAATAAAATAAAACCAAGTTGTATGAGTTGGTGTGTGTGTCTGTGATTTTTTTTTTTTTTTTTTTTTTTTTTTTTTTTGTAAGTGTTTCATACGCATCTGCAATGTACTTCAATTTAAGAAGAAAAATAGTTACCAGATGCAAAAACCTCGTTCCACAGGGTCCCTGACCGTGGAAGTAAAAACAGGTTAGGGTCAGCTCTAGAGATCCAAATGAGACTATTGCCTTTAAAATGTGAGTCCATAAACCGGCGAGAGTGGGAAAATGGTCAATCCCCCCCCCCCCCCCCCCACATAACTTACCCTCAAAAGTCATGCATTAGGTACCTGTATTTTCGTTGGCAAGTCCTGTATTTCCATATTTTGTTTTGATCGTTGTGGTCAGTTTCTTATTTAATGAGAAGATGATTCACGTAGGCACAGTTTTTATGAGAATTAGCTATATTTGTTGAGTTGGGTCAAGTAAATGGATTTTAATGCTTTGAATGAAATGCTTGCATCCATTAAATCTAAATTTACAACCAAGACCTTTAGTTACTTTGTTCGCTTCAATATCATGTTTGCATTCATCAGTTGCTTACCTAACACAAGCGAATGTCTTGTAATGCGCGGAACAACAGGTGGAGCAACATGTCTCAGACTTTCCTTGATAACTCTCTCAAGCAAAGGACATTTTACTAGCTCCTCTTTCGTTAACATTCTGTTCTGTCCCGCTGTTACTGTGCATAGTTCTTCATAGAGATCTTTCTGAATATCTTGATGCATCGCCAGCATCAAGAAACAGAAACTTAAAGTCAATGAACTGGTCTCAGTACCCTGAAATTTAAAAATCATGAATAAATAAACTCTTTTCATACAGGTGTTTCAGAATTGATCAGCGTCGCTCGCTATAAAAGTTTTAGATCTTACTCTATTCTCGATAACCTTCGTCCTCTTAACATTCGCCTTCGATTTCCCCGCATAGGCAATGTTCCTACCGGAAAGCACGAGGTATCTATTTGAAAAATATACGATGAAGTACCTAACTTGCTCAATTTTTTTACCGTTTCTACAAAGAACCGGAGACCACCCTTGCTAGGAGCAAGTGTATCGCGACAGAAATTCGTCGAATGTAGGTCCAGATGTTGCCATATTTCTTTCGATGAAAAATCGTTTTCGAGGAAAGTTAGGAACATATTTCCTCGAAATTTTGTAGAATAATTAGATTATTATTGACGCAGACAATTTTCCACAATTTTAGACAATCAGAGGTCACAAGTTTTTCTGTTAATTCATATTTAATCGGAAGAAATTTGGCAACGCTCGAGGACATTTTTAATTGACGCTTCAGTATTGATATCCGAGCAGCGGTAATAATGCCTCGACGCAATGCAACTATTCGTGCTCTGTGAACATCCGTATAGTATTTAAAAAATTGAAGGCGCTCCGGTCATTCCAGACTATAAAGCAGTGCTCGCAGGGACACGCTGTCACGACTCGGTGTATCGGTGAGATATAATATCTGGATGCGTGGAAATGTTGCGAAATATCCTTTCTTGTCATTTCTCTTTACTTTTTATCCCCGTATTTTATCCTTCCACTCATTCGCACTGGTGCGCCACACACTGCTGCGTGCTATTGGGTGTGATTTGGTAGAAAGGTTCAAGTTTTTCGATTGATCAATAAAAAGAAGTATAAAATGACAAAAATACTTTCATTGTCAACACTACACTATATAAAATTGTAGAAAAGGTGCGAGTTTGAGAATCAAGCTTCCTCATCAAAATTTCACCCAAAACACGACTAGTACAACAAATATGACAAAAAGTGCGTGAAATTCTGAAGAGACAACAAATATCCGAATGATCACATTTGTATTTTGTATCTTGTCCTGTGGTCCATTGCACTAGGTGCGATATAGGTTGCTTCCCACACGCACATCTATGGGTATTTTTCTCACCAGAACGAAAAGAAAACAAGGAAACAGTTTTCCTGAGAAATTGAAATCAACTTTTATGATCCTGAACGTATCGTTACTTTGTTGCCATACTCATCAGAATTGCCAATTTAGTTAAATTAAAAAAGTTTACCGGAGCAGCCAAAACCTCTGAAAATTTTAAAAAACCCTCATCGGTGGGCAACATTGGCAGAAATTCTTTATGCCTAGGAGAAAAGGGTCCTTAAAACTGACTGAGGGGAGGAAAATGCTCGTTGTGTTAAAAAATTAATTAATTACGCGAAGTGATATTTCAGTTGTGGCAACGAAAAATTCCTCGGCGCAATCTAAATTTAACGGTTCCTCAGTGGGCAAATGGCGTAAAAACATTTCTCGAAGTAAGTGCTCGGTAAATTCGTTCAGCCTCTTGAATAAACAAGTTAGAGAAATGGTGCTGGGTCCACACCATTTTTTGCACCATTTTAGTGTTTCTTCTCACTTCTTGAATAAATAAAAAACGTATAATTAACGACTATTCCAAAAGCCATGTACGACCCATTAAATCTATTTAGGCCATAAATATGGAAAATCATTATATAACAGCCCGCGCCCGCGCCAGTGGCGTGGCGTGAATTACGATATATCGATAGTTATGCCATTTAAATCTATGGTACAGAATCGATTATTAAGGTGTTCGCTGCAAACACCCTGTTTATCGATCCTTTTCCCTAGGTTTAAATGGCATAACAATCGATAAATCGCAATTCACGCCACGCCACTGCTTCATTTCAATTTTCATCCTTAGATAAGACTTGGGTTCTACGATCAGTTGCTTTGGAAAATTTCGAACTGCTGACTGATTTTTTGCTCCATAAACCGAAGACCAAACGCATTAACCATGAACTTGGAATGACCTCATAAAAGTAGCCGTCGTTTTTTTACTCAACTGGTTTTTTTCTCCCCATCAAATTGAATCATGCAATCATACTTTTCTGCACCGCGCTATAAAGCCATCATTTAGTTATTTACATTTTCACCGACTTTGTTTTCAAAACTGTCTACTCCAATCAAATATAAAGTACTCTATCCTAATAAAATTCTAAAGAATAAGAATCGTTAATGAATCCCAATAATTTTCAATACAGTAAGTTCCACTCAACCTCACGTATGTGGAAATACGTCTGTTTCACGATTTTGAAGTCGCATTCCTTGTAATAATGCGCAAATATTCTCTGCTTGCATATTTTTTTCTTCTTTTTTCCATGTTTGTACATGTATTTAGAGTTGATGCTTTATAAAAAGTATACTACAAAAATTTGCACGTGCTTCGTGGACTTGAGTGACCAGAGCGCCTTCCATTTTTTCATATGCAATACGCGTGTCCATAACAGTACGAATAGTTGTATCAAGGCGTTAGTATCAACATAATTGGACGTATTTATGCCAAAAGGAACTATGTTACACGCAAACCCTATGCACATAGTTCCTTTTTTAGCATAAATACGTCCAATTGATTGCGTTGCATATGTTGACTGAGATATTGGCATAAAAAGTCCTATCACGTCGTTCTACCCATGAGCTCATTTCAACATAAACTGATATAATTGTGTTCCAGAAAATAGGAAAATAGATCAAAGTCGTTTTCCTTTAATTAGTTAGTTAGAAAAACCATTCTCAATTATTGTAAAAACGTAGGTAATCACTTACAGAAGCATTCAACAAAGTCAGTTCGGCTTCCATTTCTCTGTCATGTAGTTTTCCTTCTTCTTGCAGCTTTAGCATGTGATCTAAGAATGTTTCATCTTTTTTGGCTGAAAGAAAAAAAAGCATAAAATCAGCGTGTCTACACGTCCGGAAATCGTACTGATTTTTCAAGGGCGGTCCAGAAGTACTGAAAGTGTGGAAATTTTGCAAGAAAGTCCGGAATTTTTTTCATTTTTGTCGCAAGTTGATCAGCGGGAAATTCAAATTTTTCGAATTTCGTCAGTTGAGGGTATTGAAAAACTACTGAATTTTTCTGTTGAGGAGGTACTGAATTTCTTGGGTTGTACCGAAAAGGTACTGTAAAAGTACTGATTTTTGGCCAGCCTGTTTAAGTAGACATGCACCCTGATAATGGCGGTGTCATACAAATAAGACTTACATTCGGGGGGAAAAGTATGAGCACGTAGTGATATAAAAAGCAAGATGCTATAAAATTAAGCCCATCATGCCTGGTTTGGGCTTGAGTGACATAAGGCCGTAACTATACTTTTAGAGATGAAGCAGGAAAGCAGTGATTTATATGGACGACAGGGCTCATCGCGCAATTTAGTTACGTTCTTTTAAGACAATGTCTTTTACGCGTACCTTTATAATATTCTCAGAAGATGTGCTCAAAAAGGTGAAAACAAATAATTGCAACAAACTTCGACCTTCTCTTAATCCTCCCCCATCCTAGCGTCGCTGGCAAAGACTCAAAGCCCACTACTTACTGGAGCTCATACCTAGCGTAATCTAAGGGTGATAACTCACAACTACATTTCCAAGAGACTGCACATTACCGCTGATTGCTCACATAGGTCTTAGAGATACCTAGCCTACTCTAAATAGATGTTCAAATTTGTGGACATGCCTCTGACAAGAAGTCTCCCCTCTCCCCCCTCCTTACCCCGGACTCCCTTCTCGCTTCGTAAATGGATGTATACAATCATGAGAGAGATGCACCAAATCATAATTTTCTGAATCTAGTCCAAATGCTCAGTTAGCAATGTTTCATTTAGACAAACCTGCATTTGTATTTTTTCCAAGTAACTAACAAGTTCTACGTATGCACCCACCTGATTTCTCGTTGTTATTTAACTGGAAATTTTCTTTCTCTGCAATCATTTTCCGCTGTTCAATTGCCTGCAACATTGTAACAAAAAAATGGTTACTACTAAAATCTCTAATTTTTCACGTTTATTCTCATGTTACACTAACAATGAACTCACATAGTAATAGTTACTCTCTTGAATGATCACATTTTCAAATCTTAGGCATACCTCTTGTTTCCTGTAATTTCCAAAATGCATACACTCCTCGGTTCCCAATGCGCTTAAAAATTTAACAACGTCAAATAATAATCAAGGTCAAGTAGCATTAACTTTGATCCAACTAAATCATTAAACTAAATCGTAATTAACAAGAAGTTCCTCTCAAAAGTGGACGACTGAGGTTTTTCGCAATGATGCGGTTACACGCAGCGATCGGTATATTTTTTGGAGATTGAGTGTCTTAGCTTACCAATTCGAAGAACTTCCTTTGCATGCCACCAAAATGGTTCGTGATTTTCCTACCAGTCGATGAAAGCTTGTACAGGGCATCAACGTACAGCCAAGGTTTCATGGCGCGGGCGTAGATAGACTTCACTGCACTGCAACATTTATGGAAACAACCGTTTTTCAATTACAATTATTATTCTGCTTCTATAATATTAAGACCGTTTGGTTATTTATTGAGGTTTCACTTAAATTCACTCTGACGAGCCATGCTCGTCCTCATGTATGGGTACTTCCCCGTACCCCCTCCCCCCTATTCCAGTCTCTCCTCAAGAATACTTTTTGAAAACTTTCGCAGACGCTCTCAATTAGTCACCCATGATTTGATAAGTAACTTACGTGTCAAGCCCAGAAGTATAATACTCCACTTCGTCATCCGTGCTCAGATTAAAACCTCGAGATGAATCTGAAAACAGGAAAAAAAATATTGAATTTCAAGTGAAAACACCATTTTCAACTATCTAAAACTTTGATAACACTTTGCATTTGCCCTTCTTCTTGTTGGATGAATGTCCCAAATTGTTCGGCCGGCTAGGTTGTTGAAAAAGAAAACTTATTTTTGTTAGAAGGTTTCGATCTGGTGAAATGTTCCATTCCTTTCAACTCCATCAGTTAAAATATCGTGTTGAAAAGGTATTGAAACGATTTTTAAGCCCATGCAAGCATCTCACATAGTGCCAGTTTGCTCTTGCGAGGGTTGGTGACAAGACTTTTTTGGGACAGCTATTGAAATATCCAACTTACCCATCATTGTTTTACCGGTCATCACCAGGATATCTCGAAAAATGTCAAAAGGTACCCCTTCTTTGGTCTCTAGCCGTTTTAAAAGTTGCTGCGTGTACTGCTCCACAAGTAGATACGCTTTGTCTACATTGCGCAAAGAGAAGAAAACGTCGTACATTTTCCGCTTCCTTTGGTACTCGTGATCTAAAATAACAATACATACGTTCAATTTCAAAAATATAATTTTAATTAAGATGCGTGATTCGTGTGTTTCAAAGGACTCGTATTTTGATGGAGTAGATTAAAACATTTCGAGATCTAATTAAACGCCAAGTTAACCATGTTTATACACATTGTTTTCCAATGGGCAATGTCTCCTTCAATGGGACGTAGAAACTTAATGTTCTTATTGTAGACAGATTTTGTTGTCACTTTAGCAACGAGGCACGAATGAGAACAAAACCACTAGCATGTGACTCGTTCAAGTGTTTCATTTTCGTACTAATGTATTGCATCATTTAGGAGAATTTCTCATTAAATAAGATTGAAGAAATACGTGCAGAAAATCTCTTGTAGTTACCAACAATGTTCATAGTTAAAATGTCTGAAAATTAATTTTAAGGTGTGCAACACGACGTATGAGAGAAACCTTAAACTTAGTTTCTCTTATGTGTACTGACTATTATTGGAGTATTATTATTGGAAATTTTGGATTAGACATATATATGTCTAATCCAAAATTTGCATGGAGGTATCGGTTTTCATCACTCAAAATCTGACATATTCAATGTGCGGATAGCTGCATGTAGAAGAAACTTAATTTACCAGTGGTGACGAACAAGTTTTTATTTGTGATCGTCTCGATGAATCCGTAGAAAAACGGACATTTTTCACAACCTTCAGTGGCTAAAACTTCCTGAAACACAAAGAGATTTATTTATTTGACATCGGCAAGGAAAAATAGCGACGAACTCGCAAAGATTCATCACGAAAGTTTAGCCAATAAAAATCAAGGCTTCAGAAGCGGATGGAAAGATTTTCAGCCAGGGACCAAATTCTGTCGATTTTTCCGGCTGGAATTTATTTCAATCTTTTTGCGAAAATTCATAGTCAAGTCCAAAATTTTACCAACACGGTCCATTTTTATGAGAAAGACGGATGAGAGGAAAACGAGGTAGGGGCATCGAGGAAGAACAATCACATGCACCAAAAAAAAAATAGAAGAAAAATGGGCATCAAAATAACATGCTACGCCAGGTCATGTAATCCACCCGCAGGTCACACGCCATTCCTTGAAAACTAAGCCCATGCGAATACTGAGGTATAAAATCAAATATAATTCCATTTTGACGCCACAGCATGATTATCATGTAACTAGCGGTATATACTCACATATATACAAGAACTCACCTTTATATATTCTGGCTCACCAATTGCTATGACGGGCACCGGTCCAGCCCAGAAACGAAACACCGTCCCATACTTCACAATATAATGGTTAAATGCTTCGAAAAAGTCTGGAAAAGCCGAAGAAATGTTGTGTTACACATCAGAATTTCCGGTGGTTATCAAAATTATTTATTTAATTCTTTTTCAGTTTAGGGTCATCCCGCTACACACTCTCAAAAATTGTCGGTGGTCAACTAGACCTGTATCGATCCAAGTTTGCAATTTGCAATATTTCTTGATTTTTTTTTCTAGGGACAATCGGGCAAAGATCAACTTATGAAAATTTCAAGCCATAGCGTTGATTTTTTTGCCCTCCTTTGATATAACGTTTATTAAGAGCGGAGGTTTTGAAACACCACCAACGAGGTACGCGTTCTTGATGCAGCCGCACCGTCAAAAGTTTTTCTCGGAGGGTCTTGTCAAAGACAGTCGAATCTTTCAAATTAAGTTTCATTCCCTGTAAACTTTTTGTTTGTATGAAAACTCTGAATGAATCGTTTCAAATTTAAAATTGATATGGTAATGGCTAGTATAACTTACTTTTTACTCCGTACTTAATAATCACGCCTGCATTCCCTATTATCGGGAGGGCTGGGGGTCCTGGCAGTGAAGCAGCAAATCGGCATTTCCGCACGTAGTTGACGAAACCAATGTTCAAGAGGCGGAGCAAAATCCAGATAGAAACTCCAAACATCGTAACGAATAGGTACCATTTCGTAGCCCCACTATCCTTGATGTTTTTGAATCCAAAAGATTGCTTTCCTCCTTGGGGCAAAAAACCACCAGAAATTAATCGTAAACACTCACTATAAACTCTGAGCCTTACTTCAATTTTACGCGTCTACCCATTGAATTGCATTTTCAGAACCCTTTTTTCCTCTCCGGAACCCTGTTATACTCTCAGGATATCAAGAAAGTAACGCGTAAAGCATAACGCCTAAGGCACGAATCGGCTGGAGGGGGAGGGGGGTTTGGATTGCGAAGCTGTCACAGTGGATCGAGTCAATCAGAGAGGTCGGACATGAAATTTTTGACTGATACTGCAAATTTTTAAGTTTAATTCGTCACACTTTAAATTTTAAAGGGTGCTTCTAGAAGAAAATTTAACGAGAAAACCCACATGGAGAAGAATACTTCGTGCATGGGACCCGAAGTTGAGGCCTTATGGATCTCTGAAGTTTCCGGATCACGCATCCGAAAATTTGAGGTTGAGCTGCCGAAGTTCAGGTCAGACATCGAGGCACTTAGGTATGTACCGGAGTACTTCAGATGTGTGACCCGAATCCTTCAATAAATACCAAAGTACTTCAGAAGTCTGACCCGAACTTCGGCAGTTGGACCTCAAGTTTTTGGATGCGTGATCCGAAAACTTTGGAGATCCATATGACCTCAACTTCGGGTCCCACGCACGAAATGTTTTCTCCGTGCGCGGAACCTCTGTTAGAACCTTAACATTTTGTATAAGCGGAATTATAAGCTTTTAAAGTTTCCAAATTTTGTCCGACCTCTCCTATTGACTCTATCTACTGAGCGGCGCACTCCCTAGTCACAAAAATATCTTACAATCTCTGTATGACATCAGAGTGATGGAGTGACATCGTGTGATTGCAATCTGTTCAATCGCTCGCGCATTCCATTTTCCAATTTATTTATTTTTTTTTTACGTAATTTCAATATTTTAGGCCCAACAGTAGCAAGTCAGCGGATGAAAATAAAAACTTCCCAATTTTGAGAATAAAAGTCGCGTGTCATGTACAAATCTGTCGGCAAACGGTAGCGCAACTTGAATTGCGATTTTCGAAATGCGAGCGTTAATCGTTCTAGAGCGAAACGTTTATCTCTATTGCGGGCATTGTAGCGGTTTTTGAAGTTCACGTACGCACGCCTGACCACTGAGGCACCCCGGAGCCCCCTCTGCGGGAAAAGTTAAGTAGAATTCGGTGTGGGTCAGTTTTTATTAGGCCCAACTGCGCCCCGTTGCGGGGTTTACACCGCGGCGACACCTGTACGATAATGTTAAATGATCATAAAGCAACACTTGCCGTTGTGTAATTTGAGCTACCGAAACATTCAATTAATTTTTAATGAAGACAAAAGCTACTTTCGGCGCGCCTTAGCGGGTACTATGCGTAGCACATGGCTCGTGAGAACGAGACGGTCACATACAGTTGCCAATGCCACATGGGACTCGAAAGACTCTCTCCTCAACGAATCAGGAAACTGCTGTAACGAGTGGTTCAACTTGACAAAAAGAAAGTCGGTAGATGTCATATTAACAGAATTTTTCTTCTCGATACAAATCGACTAGTCTCTATTAATAAAAGCAAATACAGAAAAGACGCTCCTCGCTTTGCAACGATGTAAAATGTTTGTTCTGTGGCATCTAAGGTTTAAAGAGCCAAAAATAATTTTCTTATCAAAATTTTTCCGGTTATTATCTTCCTCGTGGAATTTTGCCGGAGATAAAAACCCGAGATGGCAGGCCAAGTGTGATCGATAGTGACTTAGTGCAATGAGTTGACGCTTTTACGCGCGAAGATCGCCGAATGACACTAAAAAAACGCTCGAATATTTTCTTGTTATTTCTCGATCTGTCTTGCATCAGATTCAGATTGTTCATAAATTATTGAATTTAAAAAAATTCGCGGTAGGTGGGCTCCGAAAGTGCTGACTTTATCGCGCGCCTGGAGGTGGCAGGAAACGCATTGAAGGCGGCGCGGGAGAAATGACCTCCTGAGTGTCCTGTTCATCCGATTTTTAATAACTTGGGCTTAAAATAAAGCTAAAAATATGCCTCGTGTGCGCATTTAATTAGATTTTCCCTATCATTAATAGTATTAAAATGAGAGCGAAGCGAGCAAGGTTTTTGGGATTACCCTCGTACATTATGTTCAATTGAGAGAATTTACAGTTTAATATCGAATTGTAATAAAACTTGGGTTATATTTCCAAAATCTGAAAAAAACTAGCTCATCTAGAGACTATAACCTATCTATAGCCGCAAAAATAATGGAAATCGGACCAGTAGAACTAATGAACGAGTGACAAAAAATGAAAAATTGGGGGATCAGGGAGTTGATAGTAATGAGATGGTGGGGAAACTTTCAGAGAGCAGTGTACTTTAACTAAAAAACACAAGGTCATCCAAAAGCGCAAGACTACATTGACAATTTTAAATAGATTGAGGTAGACGGTTGAAATCGCTTCATGTTGTTTTATTGTGAGCTGAGAGTGGACTATTACGGCAAGAATTACAAAACACAGTTCCTCATCTTATGTTCTTGTAAACCACGTTGTAAAAATGTCCGAATTCGACTAGTGAAAAATCCTAGCCCTATAACAATAAAGACCATTGAAAACCCATGTTCAGTAACTCCTAGACAACCGTTAATAATTATATTTAAGGAAACCTTTTAAGGATTTTTTCTTCATTTAAAAGTTATTCTAATCAATTTATCAGTCGAGCTTTTCTTTTGACTTTGATTCTCTGCTTATTACTTACTCCTTTCAAAATCTATCACTCCTCTTGGATTTTTAATAATCCAAATTATTATTCCATCTAAATTACATACATACAAGTCGCTTTCACAGCGTGCCGGGGCGCTCTGCGACACCTAATCGCCATTTTTGTCCATCGACCCAGAGGTCATCTGGTCAATGGCATCTTGTAATTACATCTTGAATGCCACCTATCCACGATTTTGTTGGACGTCCCCTACGCCCTCTCCCAGGAGGAACCCAATCTAGTGCCTTCTTAGGCAATCTGTCATCCGCCATTCGGTGAACATGACCATACCAGACAAGCTGTGAGCTCGATCTAAATTACCAAGCGGAAAAAGAAGATTTCAACACAGTCCGGCAGCACGGAACTGTGTAACAAAATCGTGCGTCATGGCTGTTGTTTTATCTACTTTTTGGGATGGCAGTGCCTCCCTCGAATTGACCCTGCCTAACCTGAGCGCTCCCTTTCCTCGCGGACCAACTTTTCCGCACCACTTGGTCGAGTTGATGAGTGCGTCTCCGGCCGGGATTCGAGATGTTATCAACGTTAACGTCACCGGTCGAGGCGACGTGATGTGCATCCCCAGGGCAATAAATTGGCTGACACCGCGGAGCCACGCAGCGGATATCAGTTGTATCTTTGTTATGGTCGCGAAAGACCGGATAGAGTGCGTAAAACTCGTTGTAAAGTTTGAGACTCGTATAATCCGTGAGGCAACGGTTGCGCAACGCTTCTGTCACTGCGGTTTCCGGCGTCATGCCGAGGGGAACCGAAAGTACTTGCGAAATGAGAGAAGATTTTGGTGATTTCGGTTGATATCGACCTAAAATTCACCTGGAAGATGGCTTTGATCACTACACTGGAAAAAAAAAAAAAACACTTTGGATCTAGAGTCCAGACTCTTGAAAACATTGACAAGAAAAAGGACTCTTGATTCAATCAGATTTAAGCTTTGATCAAAAGGAAATGCGCTCAAATTAAGAGGCTTGGTTCTTGATTTAAGCTTAAATCTAATTGAATCAAGAGTATTTTTTCCTGTCGATGTTTTTAAGAGTCTGGACTCCAGATCTCATGTTTTTTTTCCAGTGTGGGGAAAATATAGCAATGCTTCCTGGGCAAAATAAACGAGAAAATATAAAGCTGAAACGTATAAAAGTGAAATGAAGAATTTGCACCAACCATTTGGTCATTTGACCACAACCAATGGTCAAATGACCAATGGTCATTTGACCATTTGTCCATTTTGACATGGGAAATTGGAGAGAAATAGATTAAAAAGTGAGAAAATGTGCCGCCTCATTACGTCATCCGGCGGCATTTTCCATTTGAACACATGTATTTTAGCAGATTAGGTTTTTTTGTCATATATTCTCCAATAATTGTTCAATTTAGAAACCAAAGATATCCTCTTACTCAGTTTTCCTGGCTGTATCATTTTAAAGATAAAATTTACAAAATTTAAGACACCTGCAAATTCTCTATTCTGAGTTTATCCCCTCTGAATTTTTTAGAGTAATCTCTTCTCCTGCGCATTCACGAGTATACAATCAAAACACTTCGATTTTTGCGGAGTCGTTGGACCGGCGGACCACATTTGAGCACAAAAAAATATCAATGCTTTCACTGAAGATCGTTCGGAGCACTAACACGTATTCGAGTGTCAATTAGTATTGATGAGCAGGCAAATTTCTTCATCAGAAAACACCGGTCCATTTATCGTGAGATGGGAACGGTTAAAACAAGAACATTGATAATGACATATTTTTAAAATCCGGAAGTTGCTTTTTATAATTACTACTATCAAGTAAGATATGTCTATTTCCCCCGATGAGGTATCTAAACAAAGCAAAAAGTGAATTAAAGCAAAAAACTCTCCAGGTTTCAACTTCATGTACTGTACACGGAAAAGAAAAAAAAAACTCCGGCCGTGAAGCTGTACTTACGGGGCTATATATATACATACCGTCCGCGTTCCGGGCTCAGGGTCCGAAAGTCCCGAACGTAGCACCCGCGGTAATCGAAGCTACGGCTCCAGCACCCGGAACCTCTATGGTCCTCGATACAATTGTCGTTGTGGCTTTTTTGGTCCATGACATCCGTATTTGTGTTCGTGCACCGAATGTCTCAATCCTGCGTTTCTCATCTTGCGCGGAATCACTCCAGGGAAGCGTAGAAGACCCCATATCTTCGGAGACTTAAACGCTTGTTTAGAAAAAGAAGAGCGGCTCAATTCAAGCGGCGTCTCATGATTCACGACTAACCGCGGCACGTGCCACCTCAATGAGAACGTCTTTAGCAATTTGACGTGAGTCACGCTTGAATTATACCTCAAATTAATAATTGGCGCACAGAATGCTGACAAAACTAGGAACTTCCAAGTAGACTCATCAGCATTAAGCTCTACTTTGGCTTTTCTTCGTTTAGTGTTTCTTCCAGAACGATGTCCCGAATAAAACTATTTCAAGAAAACTGTCACAGGATGTCTACCATGAGTAAAAATCGGAAAATATGAAGAAATTCGATGTCATCAGGAAAATCGGTCATTGATCAGGAAATTCTGAGTGCCTGAAGCATTTACGAACATTTGATTTATTTCATTAAATATGTTGAATTTTCAAATCAAACAAGTGTCAATTATACGTGCAAAAATTCAGGATTTTTTTAAATAACAGAAAAAATAAGGAAAATATCAGAAAAATCCAAAATTAAATTTTAGTAGACGCGCGTGTCACAGAAATATGGGACCATTCTTAAAATTCTTAAAATATATTTTACGCCGAACATTGGATTTCGTAATCCCCCGCACCCCGTAAAACACCCGTTACACAGATCTACACCCTTTTCCCCTCAAAAAATCGAGTAGTGCTTTGTTTGATCCCCCCTCAACTGTAATGGCGTTTTGTGTTGAATTTTGGATAAAAAATGCCACTTCGAATTTTCTTTCTAAATTTTTGAGAGATGCCAGATGCTGTGATTGCGAGGTGGCCGGTTGATTTCTCCTACAACATTAATCACTAAAATATGGTCTCTGGGAGCCTTTGATACCAACTCTCAAGCTCGGTTAAGATCTCTCGTTTAGAAGTTACTATCTTTTTTTTTGTGTGTGTGGTATAATAATTTCTCTGCAGCAGCAAAAAGTAAAGTTTACACTGCAATGATGCGTACCTATGCTAATTTCATAAAACCGGAAAATCCTTCTTCAGCCCTCCGTGTTGGCGAGCCCGTGCGGGCATTTCTTAAATTCTCAAATATTTACAAAAATTGTGAGATTTTGGTCAGACAAATTGTGCTTCTACTTAATACTATAAAGTACGAGAACATAAATGTATAAAGAGAGATATAGTTGATTTGAGAGATTGTGAAATATCTCATATAGGTAGCTAGTCGGCGACAAAAAATTTAAAATTTTGTCATGAGACTATAAATTTTATTTATATTTGACATAGAAGACCTTTCAGATGTCTTAATTTGCTCGGAAGTTACGAATGGGAATTCGTATCTTTTGTGATTGCCCATCACGAAAACAGAAAATGGCGAATGATGCATGTCAAGATGAAATCCATAATACGGCGAATGTTAAAAAAAGAGGGAGGGGAATTTTGATAATCAACACACTTTATTGGATTAAACTTCGAGAAAGATAGCTGCGTCATTAGGAAATGCACAGCAGACAACCACTTCTTTTCAAAGCCTGCTCTTCCTTCTTTCGAGATGAATTTGAATTTCCTTTTAGTCCATAAAATCGCAAGGCACTTCAATGGAGAATTTGCAGGTGTCTGAAAGTTTGTAAATTTCATGTGCGAAATACTTGTAAACTACTTGAAAAACTGAACGCGAGGATATCCTTTGTCTCTAAATTGAACAACTATCGGAGGAAATATGACAAAATAACCTGATCTGCTAAAATAAATGTGCATAAATGGGAAATGCCACCAGATCACGTCACAAGGCGGCAAATTTTTTCTTTTTTAAATTTATTTTTCTACAATTTCCCAATTCAGAAAAAAATAATGAAAAATACTGCGATCTCCGCTCATTAAGAACACTCAGATGAAACAATAAAAAAAATGTGTGCAAATTCTCCATTAGGGCTTGATTCTTTTTCAATGAAAGTCAGAATAAAAGATGTATTTAAGAGAATTTGCTTCCCCTTTCACCCCCACCGTTAAGTTTAATTGAGATGCATGTTTCATTAAGAACCACGTGGATTAATTTTTTTTTTTTTTTTTTTTTTTTTTTTTTTTTTTTTTTCCAAGTGCAACATCTCTTTCCTCATCTATGAGGTTCACTGATCCCTTTCCCTATTTGCATAGCTTTTCAAAGAGCCTCATCAGAAATATTTGAGGATATTTCAAAATTGGCAGAGAGTAAAAGGGGAGAAAAGCCCTGAGTGCGAGACTCGAAAGCAAAGCCAATGAAGCTTGAAGCATGAATGCAATGCGAAATAGAAAATTTTCAGAAAAATTGTCTTATTGATCCATCTGAGAGTGCTCAGTAAGCTGGGTTTGCACTATTTATAATTTTTTGAAATGGTAAATTGTACACAAATTGATTTAAAAGTGAGAAAACGTGCAGCATTGTGACGTAATCATGCCGCATTTTCCAATTTCCACACGTGTATTTTAACAGATTAGGCTATTTTGTCATATTTCCTCCAATATCTGTTTCATTTAGAAACCAAGGATATCCTAATGCTCAGTTCTCGTAGTAATTTCATTTTAACTTAATTAAAAAAATAAAATTAAACTTAAATAATAAAATTTACAAAATTTCAGACGCCTGCAAATTCTCCATCGCCTAATAACTGTTCTGTAGTTTGACATAACATCCACTTAATTTTAGAAACTAAAAACAGCTGCAGCATCAATAAATGCGCAGAAATAGAATCTGTAGCTTTTACTATGCAAATCATATCAAGCGAAAAGGAAGTTGGGTTAGCATACCTAGATCCATGTTCATGACTCCGTGCACACCACTTAAACTGACTCCATGGATCACGTCGTTGGTCCGGACCCCCCAATCTGAACAATCTCTCCCCCTCTTTCTTTTTGTGGTCCTTATTCGAGGCTCATAAACGCTTCCTCTTTGCTCATGATCCAGTTTTGAGTTACTTGCGTAGAGTCATCATTTAAGAAGTTTTTTTTTCTTTTCTTTCTTTATTGTAAGGTAGAGGTCAATTCTACACCCGAAATTGGCGAAAAAGTAACATGCTCACAGAGTGGAATACAACACTTTATGCGGTTTCGCGATTTTAAAAATATTTCTAAGTATTATGCGTGGTTTCGCAATTCTAAAGTAGTTATAGGTACAGGTAAATCCTGGTAAGGAGGAGTCTGAGGGCCTTTCGAAAAAATTTGAAATTTAAGACGTTTTTGGAGCGATTTGGAACTGATTGTCTCGAGGAATTGATTATAACACAATTTCTAAGGTGAAAAAATTGTCGTTCCCCCACAAAAGAACGTGAAGACTATATTTCATTGTTGCCAAATTTCCTCTCGCAAATTACAACTCTTACAGGAAAATCTTGGGAATTTCTAACTGAAAATTTCAATGATTTTTCTTCTGATCTCGTGCGAAAATGAGTAAAATTTTGAACAAAAATTGCACAGGTGCATTTCTGATAAAAATTGAATTCTTGGAGTCAATTTTGCAACCTTGGAATGGAGTTACGTTCCTGCGTCTGAGGAACGCCGAAATGTCACTCATCTATATTTTGGAAAATCCTCTTTATTTTCTAAAGAGTCTAAGTAGATCTCTTATAGTGATATGCTTTTCGAAGTATTGCGCATTAAATGCTGGAGCAATGTGATTACCTTAGCCTCTGTTAAACGATAAATTCCAATCATAGTAAGTATAATGTCATATACATACATGGAAATTGTTAGGCCTAAAATTTTAATTTTATACCATATTTATAATTGACACATAAATACACAATTGGCCTCACACTACTAAAAGTTCCCGGGACGGAAAATAAATTCCGACCAACGGTAAGCATCAATTACTTTAGGATGATTTTGTTCGTTACCTATTCGATTCTGCATGAGGCCTTGTTATGTCTCCACAGGACTTTTTTTTTTTTGTGGGGTTATACCCAAGAAAAATTTTCACCTGCGAGGTTGGGAAAAATATTGAGTTAGTCAATATTAATCCCAGTACCAACAATTACGGTACTTGTACACTCCTTGTAGTCATATCTGAGACTAACTGAGGAAGGAAAAAGAGGTGAAAGCAAAGGTTGTGATATTTTTTATATTTACTCGATTGTTCGTGTTTGTCATATAAACACTGGCGGGAATATAGTATTGGCTACTGAATTTCCTGGTAATAATATTGAGCCCTGCAGTTCAATAGTTTCTACAAATTTTCAGTTTCTGTGAAACGTATGGAATTTATGTAAATTTAATAAACTAATTTATTTAAAGTATGGACCTATGACAGGTTTAACACAAAACGTCTTTGTTGTGTGGAATTAGCTTCCCTTCTTGTCTGTAGACGCGACTTTGAAAGGCTTAAACCTTTTACGCGTCATCTCGTAAACTATCTGACTTCTCCGATGTAATTTGCTGATGGTAACTTGTTTCTTCTCGGAGCTCTCCCGCCATCCGCTCCCGTACACACGATGAACTACGATCTCGGCAGCCATGGTAAAAACGCTGAGCATACTTCCGAGACCTATGATGACGAAAGCAATAACAACGTTCGACATGGTCAACGGTTTGTACGTCTCTGAGAACTTATGGTAATCCGAGAGAGGTCGCACCGGCGTCGCGTGGATGTACCAACTGTGGATGATCCCGCTTTCCACGAATATCGCGATCACCTTGTTGATCGGATCGAGAAAAGGCGATGCGTGCGGGAGCATATAAGCAATATGGTAAGCCTTCGGGCATTCCGCAACAATGTGTAGCAGAATAATGTTGTTCTTCACGTAATCCGTGGCGATTTTCTCCTCCAAATTCTTCTCGCGGCCCATCGCTGCTGAGTTTCCCTCTTCCGCAACTTTACCCAGTAGGTCCATGTTTCTATCGGTCACTACCTCTAAATTATCGTGGAGCTTCTTCATCACCGGTTCAGGTGACTCGAACGTTTCTTTCAAGTTCTCCGACCCGATTATCACCGGGAAGTTCTTTTCAGCGACCTCCTTGAGGGTGTTGATGTCCGGTCGGTAGGAGGGGTGGCTCAAAAACTTGACCATGGAGGCTTGGAAGATGGTGGCTGTAGAGAGACTAAACCAGAGGAATGAGGCAACGGCGATCCGCTCGGACTGGATGTTAGGGATCTTAGCGATCGGGAACATCATGAATATTCGATATAAATCGAGGATGGTCGTTACGATCGAGTACTCGCCGCTGTTGATTCTGCGGAGGAAGGACCAGAAGCTGATGCTGCAGAGGTAAGCGATGAAAAGGGCCAACCACATCTCGGAGGAGAAAGCTAGGAACATGCCCTCCCAGTGGGAACGGAGTCCAGATTTTGCCACGACCAAGCACATCTTGTCGAAGTCGATTGGGCGTGTGAACTGAATTTTTGTCGTCTCGTAATCCTTGATGAAGACGCTGTTGAAAGAAATGTCCACCCGGTCGTAGATCAAGTCTCCGAGCATACCAGTGTAGCTCCCGTTCTCTGCCCTGAAACCATACCGCAGGCCATCCTTCGGTTCTGAGATGACCGGCTTGAAATTCATTCTTCTTGCGAGTGTGGATAATAAAAACCCGTCCCTGCCAGAGTAGGATCCATTTCCCAGAGGGAGAGCTTTCGTGCGGGTGTGAAATATACTCACTCGCAAAGGATATCCATTGAGATCGGACATCTTTTTGACGAAGGAGCTCCTGATAGCTCGGATGTTCCTCATTTGAATCCGGGTCACTTGCGAGGAGTTCTTGAACGGGTTGTAAACGCTGACTAATTCGGTGCCGTCGGTCGGGTAGAATATGATGTTGTGCACGAAGTAGCCGTTCCAAAAGGCCTGGAAGAGATCTAAAATGTCCGGAGGGATCGACGCGGCTACAACAATGTAGTAGCAAGTCGAGGACCAGAGGGTCTCCTCACTCTGTTTGTTCACGAGGTCCCACACATTGAGTTCGTCACCTACAACAACGATAACGAGCTTCGCGAGAGGATCCGCTCCGAATGCTGAGCTGCGTGTTGTGATGAATAACGGACCGATTCTCGTGTACAGATTCATTATGAAACCAGAAACGTTTCTGAACTCGGTCACTTTGGCCAGAAACAACTCGACCGACTGCGATTCGGCTACTTTTTTCGTCGTTCTTATCATTCTTGTAAAATTGCGTGAGATCATCCGCGTCCAGTTCAGCGACTGTTTCAGCTGCGTGAAAGTATCCGAGTCCAATGGAGACAAATTTAGAGATGGCGCAGACTCGCCCACGACGATTTTACGAGGACCCATTTCGAACAACACAGATAGGAGCAAAAGAAGTTGTTTACAGAACAGCATTCTAACGCGACCGATACCTCTCCATACCGACCAAACCACACGGAATCACCATCATTTAATCACTCAAAATTCCACTCCTACTCATCCATTTTTTTTCTCTTTTCTCGACGTTTCAGCATCCTTCGATAATAGGAAGGGGTGGGTTCCTGGTGTTCGTATTTGATGTCAAGTTCCAGTATAAAATGAATTACGCGCACAATAATACGCAGAGAGGAGGAGGCAAGAAGTCTATCGGAGGATTGAAATGTAACGAAAACTCAAGTCACAACTAGTATATTGCATAAGATACTGTGGTGCGTATAAACTGCAAATACCAACTGTTTAATAGCAGACGATAAGTAAGACCTTCACCATGAAAACAGGGAATATACGCATTTTTTTATCACGCGCCGGTTAATCCTCCAAATGCGCAGCTTTCCTAATTTGAAAACAACGCCCAAGGGCCTTAAATAAGGGGTTTGAGGTAATGATGTGGCCTCAACAAGGCTCCGTCACGCCTTCTAATAGATGTCGTCCCAGAGAGTCGCTCACTGCACCGCACTGTGCTTTATTCGGCCGAAACGTCGCGGCGCTCAGTGGACAAAAATCAACCTCAGAGCCCTTGGAAATGTATCACTTCTGGAAACAATACATGTTTTACCGTTCATGTGTTGTAATATTTAAGAAATGAATTCTTCAATCGTCCTCCCATAGTGTCCCATTACTCGATCGGAAAAAATCCATCGCCTATTAACCGGGGAGGTTCTCGTGAGGTATTAAGCATCGCAAAGGAGCTGGGGAAAAAAGCAAGTTTTTTCTTCTTTTTTTTTTACCATACTTCCCTGAGGAAAGGAGCTGTTTAAAGCAGGGCCGGATTTACCTACTTGCCGCCCATGGGCCGCCTGTATTTTGCCGCCTTCTTCTCATTCGTTTTGAAACATCAATAAAAACTACCAAATGAACCTGCCAGCGGGGAAGGGGTGAATAAGACGCGTTTACTCGTGTTGAACACATTTTTTGGGAAAGCCCTGTCAACACTACTATAGCAAAAGTTCACGGAACTTTGCGCGAAAGTTAAGTTTCGTAAACCTATCTCTGTGTGGACAAGGCCTTCCATTCATAAGAAATGAACTAAAAAATTCTGAAAGAACAAACATAAATGCGGATTAATGATTTTAACTTCCGCCGCCGCGCCTCGCAGACCTCACTGTGTTTGACGCAATGCGTGAAGTATTCGCTCAGTCTTGTAGGCGCTGTGCGTATCGTGCTGGTCGCACTGTGTTTGCCGCAATGCGTGAGGTATTCATGCATTCTTGTAGGCGCTATCAATTTCACGCTGACCACAGTGACCGCACGGTGTTTGATGCAATGCGTAAAGTATTCGTGCAGTCTTGTAGGCGCTAATATGTGTTACATGCCGATCGCCGCACCGAGGACTTCTCCTTTTCACTCGTCATAATTTCTCTCTAAGTCGCGCCGTTCCAGGCCAAATTGCGTGTTTGGTTTCTCTCTCAACTCGACTAATTAAAGGTGCTGTCTCTTGTATCACTGAAAGACGAAAAAATTAGAAATTACTATATTCTCAGGAAATGAGAGATTTTGTCGCCTTTTCTCCTTTATAATTTTTTTTTTCTAAATCGGATTTTTTTTATACCTACGTTTAAAAAAATTGCAAAATTTGCCGCCCCCTGTAGAGTTGCTGCCATGTGGCCACCCCCTTAATCCGGCCCTGGTTTAAAGAGCGATTATAACCAGACAGCGATCCCTAGTTTTTTGCCTTAGTTCTGGTCGTCGGACGTCGTGCCGAGCCTGTCCCGGCGAGTTGGCAACACTGTTAATATTCCATTTAAATCAATTTAATATATCGATTCTAGGTAAGACAGGCTGCCTCACGTAGAATCGATTGTTCAACATACATTTAAATTGAGAGAAAAAAAGTGTTGCAAACTTGCAAGAATCGTCACTGCGTCGCTCCTCGCAGCAATCGATGTATTACACGGCATCAAATGGTAATCGTCGTAGCGTATAGTGACGCGACGCCGATTTGAATGAAATCGCAGGAGCTTGTCAATGTCCGGATTGTTCTTAATGTGTTAACATTTCCGAGAGGAAAGGCAAAGAGAAGGCTGGCAAAGCTCTATGCAGGTTTTTTTTTTTTTTTTTTTTTCCAATCGGGGAAAAATCGATGAAAATTCATCTTCCATGCTTGATGTTTATTTGCAAGGGTAGAAGTGTAAAGTTATATGTTTGAGCAAAAACTTGTTTCTCGGTGATGGAAAAACAGCCGTCAAAACAACGAGGGGAGGTACGCACAAAACGCAGAACACACCTACCCTCGATTTTAACGACGTCAAACCACCCCATTATTCAACCCCTTCATCCGCCTAAAGACGTTGTGAATGTAGAGTAAGAAAATTATACCGAGAAGACCGAAATATATTATAGGTCACTTTGGAACACATTATTATTTTCTGCCTTCGCGCCCGTCTGAACAAGTGACAGAGCCTCGTTAAGGTCACTTTAAATCCGAATCCTTCCATAATTACATCGAACTGATTGCCGTTGGTTCCAGCATACGCACACGCACGTAGCAGGCAGTCGTTCACAACACAGTCTTTTTTATACAGTTTCTTAAAGAGTTTATTATTTTTTAGTATTGTGGTCAGGATTGCAACAAAATAAACAAATTCACGTTTAAAACAAACTAACTCGGAACTCTCTGGAAGAAGTCTTTTTTTGAAATCCAATAGGCATGTGTTGCTGCTATAAAAATGAATTTTCCGCGGAGTATTAAATAATTCATCTCGTAAAATATTGGTCGGTCGTTAGTGCATCAGTTAGTGCTTAAATACTCGTTTCAACTCAAAGCAGTTCTTCAATCGATATTTCATTAATCGACCGCAGAATGCTGTAAATATGTAACTGTGCAAACGATTTTTGATTTCTTGATCTCGGTTTGACAGGGCTTCCATCTTGTGAATTAATTATTGATATTCCTAGTTGCATAATTCAACCCTACAATATGAGGTATTTCAATCAACTAGTTCTCCACCTTCTCTCAATGATCTTGTTGACGGATCCCAAAAAACCGGCACCCAAGGACACGGAACAGTCTTTATTGTGGTCTTTCATGGCATCAGAAACTTTTTTCCCGGTCGAGCCTCAGAATAGCCTCAACTGGACGCTGATGGCGTCGCACAACTTCACGCGATTAGTAAAAACTACCAAGAAAGTAGCCGAGTCCCACTCGGTGCAGATTTTCTTGGCTCGGGTGACCCAGTTCGACAACACCTCTAACTTCATCGCGAGCCTTTACCGGAAAGTCGGCCCGCTTTATCTCACGGTCCGCAACTCAACGCTCGGAGCCCAATCGCTGGCAAAATTGGTCATCGTTGTCGTGGGCGACATAGGGAACCTTATCGATATGAACGCAACAGATTCCCTCTGGACCTCGACGTGCTATTACATCATAGTGACGGCTTCGAATCCGCCAAATATTCTAGAGCTGTTTCGAGCCCTCTGGAATGTCTATTTCGTCAACAACGTCATATTCTATCCAACCGACGGGAGCGAAGCGGTCAGCATTTACAACCCGTTCAAAAACGCTTCGGACGTGACCAATATTCACTTGCGGAATATCCGAGCCATCAAAAAATCGGTGGTAAAAAAAATGAACGATCTGAACGGTTATCCTCTTCGAGTGAGCATGTTCCCAACGCGCACGAGAGCACTGCCTCTGGGCAATGGCTCCTATCTCGGTGCCGATGGATTTTTACTAACCACACTAGCGAGCAGGATGAATTTTAGACCCGTCATCTTGCCGCCGCAAGACGGTTTGCGCTACGGTTTCAAAGCCAGTAACGGGAGTTTTACCGGCGTTCTAGGGGATTTGATCTACGATCGGGCGGATATTGCTTTCAACAGTATCTTCATCAAAGATTACGAGACGACCAAGGTACAATTCACCCGCCCGATCGATTTCGACAAGTTGTGTCTGGTCGTGGCAAAATCAGGGCTTCGCCCGCACTGGAAAGGCATGTTCTTGGCCTTCTCCATCGAGATGTGGGTAGCGCTTTTCATCACGTACTTCTGCAGCATCACCTTCTGGTGCTTCGTCCGCAAAATCAAAAGCGGCGAGTACTCCATCATAACGACCATCCTCGACTTGTATCGCATCTTCTTGATGTTCCCGATCGCTAAAATCCCCAACATCCAATCCGAGCGGATTGCCGTTGTGTCCTTCCTCTGGTTCAGCCTATCCACGGCCACTATCTTTCAAGCCTCGATGGTCAAGTTCTTAAGCTACCCGTCCTACGAACCGGACCTAAACACTCTCGAGGAAGTCGCAGATAAAGGCATCCCCGTCATCACGGCCTCAGAAAACCTTAAAGCCACTTTCGAGTCCGACGAGCCGGTCATGAGGAAACTCTACGCGAATCTCGAGGTTGTGCCCGACAAGGGGATGGACATACTGGGGAAAGTGGCGACTGAAGGAAACGCAGCGGCGATCGGGCCTGCTAATGACTTGGCGGAGAACATCGCAACCGCGTTCGTGAAAAACAATATAATTTTGCTACACATCGTGGCGGATTGCCCCAAGTCGTACCACATAGCCTACATGCTCCCGTATGACTCTCCTTTTCTCGAGTCCATCAATAAAGTGATTTCCATATTCGTCGAGAGTGGGATAATCCACAGTTGGTACATTCACTCGACGCCGTTCCGACCTCTCTCGGACTATCACCAAGTCCAAGAGACTTACAAGCCGCTAACCATGTCGAATGTTGTTATAGCTTTCATTATCATCGGGATCGGCAGTGGACTGAGTAGCATTACTTTGGTTGCGGAGATTATAATGCATAGGATTAATCGTAGAAGTAGGGGGAACAGCTCGAGAAAACCACCCTCGGATAGTAAACTGCATCGAAGAAGTCAGATGGTTTATGAAATGACACGCAAACGATTCAAACCATTCAAGGTGGCGTAAATGCACGGGTATGGTAAGTATGTTTTACATTCAGTCCAAAGAAATTGTTTATGTACAAAGTTTTTCGTTCAATTTTCCAGAAAGGTTTAGTTTTTAGTCGCATTTTTTTATAAATTAATTATTTTATAAATTCATTGGTCAGTTAGTTCCAATTTTAAGCAATGGACCACTAGACAAGGTACGAATTTCAGCATTCTGATACATATTTCTTCACCAAAATTTCACGTAAAACACGATGCGCGCAACGAAAATAACCAAAATCAACTCCTTCCGAAGATATTTAATGATTCTTGGTGCGTGAATTCAAACCACCCGCTCATGAAAACTCAATGCTCTACGTGATTCACATCGCGCGCTAAACGTTATCATGAACGTCTCTGCGATAAAAAAATCTGCAATCTTGACGCTTTTGTTCAGCTATAGCAAATTACTTATAGTTTGAAAAACGCATGATGGGAAATGAACATTGCTCGATTGAGAAGCTTGCTGAAACCGTGCTGGTGCGGGATTTGACTCGCGTAGAGCTTTGAGTTTCATTGTGAGCGGGCAGTTCAAATTCCTCGTAACCAATGTGAAATAAAAATGTTAATAACTCCGTTAGGAGTTGGTTTCAGTAATTTTCGTTACGCAAATCGTGTTCTACGTGAAATTCTGGTTAGGAAACATGTATCAGAATGCTTAGGTTTTGTACCTTGTCTAGTGATCCATTGTGGAAGAGTCGTCGTTCGTTTGAAATAGGAAAGATGAACAAACATCGTCACTTCATGCACAAAAAAGTTGCATCTTTATGATCAAACTTTAATTTTGCAATGAGTTTTAATATCTTTTAATAGTATATACAGGTGTTTTACAATGATATAAGTTGCAGCAATCTACAAAATTTACCGCAACTCGTGCTCCTTTGGTTTTAGAAAATTAGAATTTTCTAATTATTTATTTAGCGATCATCATTTATGTCAACACCATAATTGCACTGATTCTTATCCGTTTTAGTCCAGCTGGAAATAATTCTTTTTTCCAGCTCTCATTTTATGTCATCATTTAAACCTGCACATGGCGCAGGTGACGATTTCTAATCAGTGGTGCACCCGACGACTCTTACTGCATAAAGTTTCTGGAGAGTGCGGGTAGATATCACATAATTTTCAACTTTAATTTTTATTCGCCTTCAACTTTAAGCGCGGCAATTGTTGCATCAGAAGTGTTATGCGTGTTCGATTCAATTATTTTTTTAAGTTCATTCATACTCCTCTTTTTGAAGGCGTTTTTACATCATACGGTAACGTTTTCTTTTGAATGAGAGGTCAGTGAACAAATGTTGAAGTTTTCCAAAACCTCCTGCAAATAAGTTCATTATTTTATCATGTGAAAAAGGTTTTCAAAAAAGGGGAGGATGTGTCTATTTCTAATGAGCCTACAAAAAAATTTCTAAAGCAACAGTCGCAATACAGAAAGTTGAAGGTAAAAGAAAATACTGAAAGTCATACAATTTTTTTCTTCGGAAAATATTTGTCGGTGTGCATCAACCTCCTGTTCGGAAGGGATCCATACCGCGCCGTCACTTCAGCCTATACCGTAAAAAGTATAGTTTATTGTTTTATGTTCCAGAGCAGCAAGCGAAGTAAACTGGAATGGAGATCGAAAGAAGAAAAATATTATTTAGCACCAGGCGGATGCTTTCAGAGTTTGAATTTTGTTACACTGAAGATTCAAGACTTCCTAGCGTGGTGGTAACGTGCTAGTCCTAGATTTCGACTGCTGTCACGAGATGTTGGTTGTAATGAAGGTCTATGGACGGCGAGGATTGTGCGGTAAGTAACAGAATTTAGAAACAATCTAATGCAAGCAATGGTGAGGCGTGAATGATCGATAATCGATATTTTCCCATTTGAAGCTATGGTAAAGAGTCGATTAGTATTAAGGTGTTCGTTGCGAACACCCGGTTTATCGATCCTTTTCCATAGGTTTAAATGGCAGATCAATCGATGTATCGCAAAGCACGCTACGCCTCTGAATGCAAGGTGAGTGCGTACCGAATTGCGTAAATTCGAAACATCATTCCGCTAGACTCTCTTGAGGAGCATTAGATATGTGCATTCAATTAAGGGGACGGAAAAAAGAGAAAAGAAAGAAAAACTTTCACACCTCGGATTTAAATTGACAGCGCAGAAGATATATGGACTACATTTTGAAATCAGAAACTACAATTCCTGGCTCACCCGCAAAAACTCTTGTGTGTATAGGGAAAATAAGGGTACATAGGTCGTTTCTAAACTGAGCTTGAAATTGTAGTTCCCGCAATTGCAAATTATAGTCCATATGAATTCGCGTCGTGACCAGGGACGGATCAGGAACAGTGGCGGATAAGAGGATAGCGGCTGTACCAGGCGCCATAACAACACGGGCGCTAAAACAAGAGTAATAATGAAAGGATAGAAAAAAGAGGAGAGAAAAAAATGTAACGAAGAGGAACGATAAGTATCCAGTCCATCGGGGCAGAACACTCAGCAATAAGCTATTCGAAAATACAGTCACCTCACTCGTGCTTTAAGCAGTGGAAATTTTGCAAGTTGGCAAAACCGTTTTTCCTCAATTTAAATCCATTAAAAATATCGACTTTAGGTGAAGCAAGTTGCCTCGTCAAGAATTGATTATTCTACGTACATTTAAATGGAGGAGGAGGAAAAAAAGTGTCGCCAATTTTCAAGAATTGCCACTGGATTTAAATGCTGCATGATTCGACGGAACCAATAAATGACGCGTGATTCTGTCGGAAAGATATTGTCGATTTTATTCTCGCCTTTAATTTCAGCGCGAATGCAAAAAATCTACCTGTAAGAGAGAGAGAGCGCGATCGGTCATCTACCTAAAAACTTACAGTTATCTATCTCAATGGACTTTGCTGGAACCAAAACTCAATACGTGGAGGTTATTGTCAGATATCTGTCACTTTAAGTTCGCATTCAGTTTTTCTGCATAGGCAACATACCTACCGCAGAGCGCGAATGACTGTTATTCGAAAAAACCCATTGGTGGATCCAGCAAACTGGCAACATTGGTTTTTTCGTTTAAGTCTTTTTAAATCCGTAGGAAATTGAAGTCCAAGTAGACAAACCCAGGCTGTATTTAGATATATTTTGTACCAAAAATGTTTCTAAACAAATTCCTTTACCACTGAAATGTGCTGAAAAAATTAGATAAGGCTTCAATACATTTTCCAGAAAAATTTACGGCCGTGAAAATGTCTTAATTTGGCAAGAGGGGTTTTAAAAATGAAGTTGCCCCATCAAAATGCCGAATCAAAAATACATTTTCGTGCAGGAATTTTTCAAAAACACCTTTAGCACTTATTACCTGTTCAGCTTCAAAGTAAGACACACCTAGGTAACTGTGAAATGGCAATACAACCCAAGGCGTAGGTTGCAATGCAATGCAATGCAATACAACGAATTAGAAACTCGGAACGATATTTTTTCCGGTGGGAAAAGAGAAAAGAAAACAGAAGGAATGAAAATATAGCGTCGCAATGTTCTGCAATTTTTTTAAATCGTTTAGAAAAATTGCGTGTAGCTTTTTAAAAAAATTGATTATAATATAAAACATAAGTAGAGGAGTGTAACGTTGCATTCGGAGATAATTACGCTTTTTTTTTCGTGTGTAGGCGTTGATTTTTGAATTAATTCACAGCAGGCGTAACGAGATAACTATTCGACCACGGGTGTAAGCATATTGCTGCTAGCTGGATTGAAGGCGCGTCACATTCCGAAGATGAATTGACCGCGTTTCTTTTGGCGTACCGCTATCATCGCCGCAAAATTAGGGCTAAGCGTCATTATTCTTGACTCTCTGCCCAGTTTTTACCACAATTAAAGGGAAAATATGCATCTTAATTGCAACCTATTCAGAAACTCGAACCGCGTTTACTTTTCTCCTCATTTAAAAAAAAAAAAAAAAAAAAAAACATGAATAGAAAGAATGAAAATATCGCGTCGATATTTTCAGTGATTTTTTAATGCATCATTTCGGGAAATTCCCGGAAGCTCTTCAGAAAATTTGTGTATAGCTTTTTAAAAAGTATTGATGAAAAATGAAACATGAGAGGTGGTGTGTACAACTTTGCAATGGGAGATAAAAAAGTTTTTATTTCGCGTGCAGCCGTCGATCTATGAACTTATTCACGGCAGGCGTAATGAGAGAACTATTCGACCACGGGTGTAGACATGTTGCCGCCAGTCGGATTGAAGGCGCGTCACACTGCGATGATGACTCGACGGCGCGGCGTTCCATATCCAGGCTTGCACTTCGTCCTAAAGTCGCCGCAAAACCAGTAGGTACTATGCGTCATTATTCTTGACTCTCTGTCCAGTTTTTACCACAATTAACGGGGAAATATGCATCTTAATTATTGCAACCGATACTGAAACTTGAAACGCGTTTAATTTTTTCCTGAATTAATAAAAATTGAAATAAAACGAACGAAAATATCGTGTCGATTTTGTTTTATCTTCTTTTAAATCATTTCGGGAAATTACCAGTAATTTTGCAGGAAATGTGTGTGTAGTTTTTTTAAAAATTACCGGTGAAAAATGAAATATGAAAGGTGCGATCGGAGATAAATACTTTTTTCTCCGTGTGGAGCCGTCGATATATAAACTTATTCACGGCAGGCGTAATGAGATAACTATTCGACCACGGGTGTCGACATTTTGCCGCCAGTCGGATTGAAGGCGCGTCACACTGCGAAGATGACTCGACGGCTCCGGCGCGGCGCTTCGTTTCCTTTCCTGGCTCGCGATACGCTAAAGTCGCCGCCAAAAGTGGGACAACGCGTCATTATTCTTAACTCTCCACCCGCTTTTCACCATGATATATATATCCTAATCAGGGCCGGATTAAGGGGTGGCCACATGGGCCGCAAATCTGAGGGGCGGCAAAAATTTGCAATTTTTTAAAGTGTAGGTATAAGAAAAAAATCGGATTTATATAAAACCAAATTACAAACGAGAAAAGGCGACAAAATCTCTCATTTCCTGAGAGTATAGTAATTTCTAATTTTGTCGTCTCTTAGTGATACAAAAGACAGCACTCTCAATAAATCGAGTTACGAGAGAAACCAAACACGCAATTTGGCCTAGAACGGTGCTACTTAGAGAGAAATGATAACGAGGACTTGAGATGAAAAGGAGAAGCCCTCGGCGCGGCGATCGGCATGTAACACATATTAGCGCCTACAAGACTGCACGAATACTTCACGCATTGCATCAAACACAGTGCGGTCACTGTGGTCAGCGTGAAATGGATAGCGCCTACAAGAATGTGTGAATACTTCACGCATTGCGTCCAACACGGTGCGGTCTGCTGCGCGGTGCGGCGGCGGAAGTTAAAATCATTGAACCATATTATGTTCGTTCTTTCATAATTTTTCCGTTCATTTCTTATGAATGGAAGGCCTTGTCCACGCAGAGATAGGTTTACGAAACTTAACTTTCGCGCAAAGCTCCGTGAAATTTTGCGAGTAGTGTTGACACGGCTTCCGCAAAAAAATGTGTCCAACACGAGTAAACGTGTCTTATGCACCCCTCCCCCGCTGGCATGTTCATTTGATGGTTTTTATCGAGTTTCAAAACGAATGAGATGGGGGCAGCAAAATATAGGCGGCTCATGGGCGGCAAGTAAGTGAATCCGGCTCTGATATTAATTGCAACACAGGGGTCTAGTAAGTGCTCGATCGGCGGATTGCAGACCACGATTATATGAAGTTGCCTGAAATGGGGTAAAAAAATGTGAAGGCATCCAGAAGAAGGGGGAAAATGTGAAGGCAGAAGGCATAAACCAGCCAAGCGCAAAGCTGTCTGCGAAGGAAACCGTGCAACGCACTCTTTCATGCGAAGAAAAAACTAGCTCTTTCACACTAAGAAAAGAGTTGAACGCGCACTTTCATACGAAATTATCGCCCTAAAGGGCCGCAACTCGTTTATTCCGATGGGAAACCATATACATCAAGCCTCAAATGTCCAATTTCAAAATTTAGGCCTTTTAGGCTTAAGCGCGCCAGCGAGAAATCGGAATTTCGGCCTGAAATTTTCTCTACAGTAAATTCAGCGCATTTCCCAACTTTTTTTCACTACCCGCCAAAAGAATTCCTAAAAAATTCGAAATCGCTCCACCCTAAGGGATATAGTGAAGCGCGCTATATCCCTTACGTATACTTATACTATATCCCTTACTTATACGTAGTTGCGGACTTACACACCGTCGATAAGTAATATTTACATCAGAGCAGACTCAAAAAAGGTAATAAAATTTGAAACACCTTTTTTGAGAAACATTAGCTGCATAATGTGGTTAATCATGAATGTACTGACTTCTACAGTTCGGAGCGCTGCGTGTGTTAGACCGTACATTTTTACTCCTTTGATCAACGCCTTGAAAAAGGCGGTCAGGCAACAGGCCTTACACGGATCTGTCAAGGTGTGACATTACTATCGTAATTTTTGGCACACAATAAAATTGCTATTTTTCTACAACAATACTGCACCATGGCGTCTTTTTCCCAAAACCATGGGGGGGGGTGACCTTTTTTGCTCAGCAAAGTAGTATGACACCGAATGTAACTAATGCTCTTAAAGAACAAAATATTTGAATCAAAGTTTTATAAAAATCAAGTTTTCGGCAAGTTTAATCCATTTTTTGCTGTTGATTTAGGCCCTCTGAAACGAAAATCAGCCCCCCCCCCCTCAAATGACGCCATTGTACCGCACGATTTTTGCATGCGTCCTGCCTTTATACTTGAGAAGGTGGCAAGGTCATTGCGTAGCAGGTCCAGGGTCCCAGGTTTTCGCGCTCCAATCAAAAATCAGTGTTGTCATATTGATTGGAGCCTGCAGTAATGTGAAGGCATGGAGAGCTCGAAGTGGTAACCAATCAGGACCCTGACCTTCAGCCTGGTTGCCGAGCTTGATCGTGTGACCCAGGCTACAGTTTTCTAGGGGGTCCGCTAACGAAGATGTTGGGGAATCGCCGAATAAGAGTATGTCACAGGAAGAGTAATGCCATGTCTGCGCCGCTCTCTAATTGGACTACATTTTGCAATTTGGAGCTATAAATTCTAACTCATCTGAAAAACACTCATGTGCATGGGAAACTAATGGCACATACGTTGTTTTTAAGCCGGGCCGAAATTTACAGTTCTTAATTGCAAAATGTAGTCCAATTGGTCCTCCAATTTCTTATCTTTCTTAAGGCCCCTGGGGCCTAATTTACATGCACCTAACAAACCCGATTTATAGTTTGTAATCTTGAAAGAGAAACGAAAATTACCCGGGAAAGAATAATTTTCTCGATAATAACTATCGAAGCTTGTCGTGAGCTTTGTCCAGAGGTTGTGAAAAGCTCCCTAGCTCGAGTAGGTACCCTTATAGCGTCTGAAGCTGTGGCTGTGAGATTTCACGAGTCAAGACTGAAATATAAACTGAAACTGAGGTAATCTGTGGTAAGTAGGTACTGTGGCATGAGTGTGGCACGCTTGTGGTGGCGGAGAATTATTGCGTCATAGACGAGTCCACCAATCAGCTGGTAAGAATAAGAATAATTATCAATGCATCGCGCAACACTGCTCTCTAAAAACACACGAAGAGCATGGGATCTTGATGTTGCCTATATCTAAGTTTTAATGTTCAATACGAGTCAACAGAGGTTTTTGAAACTTCAAATGAAGTATTGTCTGTTATAGAACGTTAAATTATCAGTAAATTATTTCCTTTCTTTTTGGTTTTTTATGACATAGTTCATTACAACCGAGCTTCTATAGTTTTTAAATCTGAAAAAATTGCTCAACATGACAACGTCGAATACCGTGGCAAGTCTCGGGCGAAGGTAAACAAGTCTCAAGAAGAAGAAGCAAATGTGAAACCTTGTAATATATTTAAAAGAATTGTTAAAAAAAGTTGGCCTACTAAACTACCACAAAAAATAGTTGTTTCCAATGTTATTAGTAATTGTGTTAAGTTTCATCAAACCTCTATCTTAGTGAATAAAGTGATAATTATCATTTGTTATTGTGGTGGAAGCCTTTTTGTCCTAATTTGAGGAATCGGCCTGATAAGAAGGTAAGCATGAATTTGTAGATTATACTGGTAACCTGTTAAAGGTGGTTAACTCCCACCGCCAACTTACTCAGAAGCTTTAGTTCTATCTTATTTTCCTGCTTCAATTTTCTCTCATTAGTGATGTCTGCGATTTTGAAACAGACTCTCATGTTGCTCCGTTTAGTTGGCCCACAAAATTATGATAGCTTACCATGTAAATTTTCATCTGCAGATGTTGAGGACAGTCCAGCGTCTAAGCTCAACAAGGAAGTAGTCAACTCTGTAAATTGTGATTTGCTCCAAGGTCCCCTTACAATTAGTTTTGGATATAGGCTGATATGAGTAGCCTAATTTACGCCTTGTCGTTCAAAATAGGAGTAAGATTTAGTTACTGTTGAGCCTCTTAAGCAACACTCAACTCAAGGACATTTCCATGGAATATCTTGGGTTAAAGGTGCTCTCCAGGATATCATACGGAACATGACAGGACTTTGAATGATCCGAACTTTGTATTTTGATTAATTTGACGATCTTTAAAACCTCATGAGCATGATGTCATTCAAAATTAAACTTTCTCTGTGCCTTTTTCTCGAAAATCTTGGCTGATAAAAAATTTTCCAGCAACTACTCTTCAATATCTTAGGTTATCGTGACTCGAAATATTCCTGTTGTGGAAATTAGCCAAAACACTCAGGTTTAGATGAAAAAGATTTTAGAATAATGCTAAGTCCACACTAACACCAGGGCAAATTTTAGCTGAAGACCGGAATTAAAAAAAGAAAAAGCTCTAAAACATTACATTACAAAATTTATGAAGCATCGAGGAAGGATAGTGTTCTGCCGTGGCAGGTGTATAATAAATGCTTCCCAGGAGCCTTCACATGGTTCATGCGCCCTAAGAAAGTGCTTGATTCTGAAATTATTTTCAAAGGCCTTGAAAGCGCTTGATTCTTGAGGAGGGTGTTTGAAGAGTGTAGGAAATGTACTTGCAATGACAAAATCATCTAGAAAACGTTGGGCATCTTGGAAACAAACCTCCCAAGCAACAGAGAAGTGTCATTTTGTGGACAAAGCAAAGTTCTCCGTTACGCAGAGAAAACTGTACGTTAGGAAAAAATGAGAAAGTGCTTGAAAATTCTTAAAAGATCGCTCGATTTTGCAATCTTGAGGCTGTATGAATCATGCATCGGAGCCCCAAATTTTTCTCCTGGTATGGCATATCTGCCCAATCATTTTGTAGCCATGCATATATTCTCCAGCAAATAATTCACGCTCAGAACATAGGTAAAAACCTGCTAATGGCTGTGTGCAGATCCAATCCGAGGCCTGGTCTTACCCTCGAGTGACACCTATCGTGGTAACGACAATGTGGATAATGGTAGATGCTGAGTCTTCCAATTTCCTACTAAGACTATTAAAGAAAAAGTAACATTTTGACGGTGTAAGTCGGTAAGTAATCTCATAACTTGGTTTGCGACATCGCAGACTTCCTATTATGCTTTATGTTTTAAACAGGAAACTACTCAACGGCAATTCTTCAAAACCGCCATGAATTTTCTTCTCTGTGCGAAGAAAATTCTACAAAAACTTCAAGGAATGATGTTAATTTGTTCTCTTTTAAAAAAATGACATCAAGGCGGAAATTTTCAGACACCTTAAACAAGTTATTTGATTGCCGCCTTACACAGTCGACTTGCCTTGAAGTCTGTTGCATGTTTGCAATTTTTAAATTATCAAATAACTCATGGTCTTAGTACAGACACCAAGCAGAGATTGCAATACTTATGACGCCTTCTTATGCATTCCATCAATATTGTATGAAGTGCAACAATTAAGACATTAACAGATAGCGTAGAAAGGTATTGAGACATCAGCATGGCGTTGGGACCAGATCTCATCAAAATTTTGAGAAAAGTCTGACATTTTCAGCAGAAGCTCCAAATTTTTGTTGATATAAATCGCAAAAATGTACGGGGTCTCAAGGCTTGCGCTCACAGAAAATTACAAACCTCAGTGTCTTCTGTTTTCCACATCAAATTTTCATGAAGCACTTCATGAAACACTTCATGCACTTCATGTCACTTCTTGCATTTTCTGCATCACTATGCATTATAATCTATCCTCTTTTAATGTTTCAGATGGGCTCACATGAGGCGTATCTTCTGAAATGGGACAACTACCTCACTCACATAGTTAAAGAATTCCACTCCTTCAAAACTGGCAATGAGCTGGTTGACGTCACCTTAAGTTGCCAAGGCAAACGGATTGGAGCTCACAAAATGTTACTGTCTGCATGCAGCCCGTACTTTAAGGATCTATTCAGGGTAATTTTTTGTTTCTCTTTGGGCTTTACAAACTCATTTTCTTTTTCTGAATTTTATAGACTGAATATCCTATTTTTCCGCATCAAATCGAGTTCGAGCAAGAGCGAGACAATTTATCTCATTGTTTGCCCAGCAGCTTTCTAATTTTATACTTCAACTGTGGCAATTATTGAAAAATTTTGACATTTTCTTCACCTTTTTGTAACTACGTACAATTCGCTCGGGGTTCCTCTGCTGACCCTCTCCATTATTTTCTTTTTGACTCATTATCGTATTGATGATTGTAGGTACTGTGTACTTGATGAATACTCGAGTTCTCACAATTGTAGACACGTTTCACAGGTTCATCAAAGTCATTCTATCTTCAACTTGAGACATAAAAAATTCACGTTTCTATTGTTTGAAAAGACATTCACCATCCACTGCTGCTTATATATTTGGCACCTATTATTTAATGCCAATTTTAATGAAATGCAAGCAGTTATTACATTGCGGCCGATTGCCTGCATTCATTCTACAAAGTTTCAAACCTTTCATTAAGCTGTATTTCAACCGGAAAATTACAATTTAAGTAATGATAAAAACCATTTGAAAGGTACGGCAGTCAATATTTTTAGACTTTGAGTCCTCTCCGAGTGATGGTTACAAAGAAACCCCACCGAAACAAGCATTGTCCAAGGAGCATAAGGTGGTACACGTGGGAATGAATAATTGGTTTAAAAATGTCATTTTTCGAGAAGAGCTGGACAGGTCCATTTAAATTTTTATTGTTTTAGTAGTTAAGTACTGCGCATGAAATTTCGTCAACTTTACTTTTCTAGTGTTTTCAGATGAAATTAGGTATAGTACTTCATGCTTTATATTATGTCATTACTGTAGTTCACTTATTTCAATGCACCTAATTTCTTTCAGGAAAATCCCTGTAAACACCCAATTGTTATCATCCAGAATGTTAAATTTGAAGATCTGGAAGCAATATTAAAATTTATCTATCATGGTGAGGTGGAAATTGCTGACAGTCACCTCGTGTCTTTTCTGACAACTGCTGAGCTTCTAGAAGTCAAAGGCCTTGTTGATTGTGACCGTAATCCGAATAATACAACTAAAGTAAGTATTTTTGCTGAGGCACCCGTCAAAAATTTCAATCAAGTGTTGATTCCATCCGTGGCATTTGGAAATAATGTGCAAACAGATAATTCTCCAGGAAAAGCCTTGATTTCCCGGTTTCTTCTCTTTATGTTATTTATTTAATTTTGGGCCTTCTAACGCCACTTACTTATTTGTTTTCTTGAGCCCCTCCAATTTTAATGAAATTTGGTATACTTGCCTCGCTAAGAGAGAGACTGACAATTACAAAGGACCTTGCACTCTCCTTATGGGCATGTGTGCCCTGTTTGATTTTCAAAGTTTTAATTGCATTAAATTCGTCTATAAATGCTGACCAAAAGTCATCATTCCGCCAACTTACTATGAGCCACCGTTTTTGCAATGAACAGTCAAAGAGATCCCTCATTTCAGCACATTGAGTGCGGTTTCGTTTGCTTCAGATGTGTGTAAATCTTGTAAACAGAAAATCGATCAGCATCTGAGCGACAGTCTTATCTCGGATTCCATGCGCCTTTACTTTTCAACGTCCAAATCGGTTTCTTTCCCATTCCTACTCATTGTCCTTACCAGACAGACATGCGCTGCGTTTTGATTTCAGCTGGCCTATCCTGGAAATTATCAAAACTTTTAATTGTGGATCGTGCAAAAACGGTGGCTCGTAGGAAGTTGACGCAATGACAACTTTAGATCAGCATCCATAGACGATTTCAATGCAACAAAAAAATTTGAAATCAAACCAGGCACACATATCCATAGGAAGTGTGCGAGGTCCTTTCCATCCAACCACCCCTTTCCTCCTAATTTTTCTATTTTGTTATTTTTGTTGCAGGGAAGCTCCGTCTATTCTCCAGATACTCTTACCAGCCCATCAGAGGCTCCTAAAAGTAAAGAAATTGATCCATCCCCTGATGTAAAATCATTAGCACCACACACTCCTGTCACTAGCCATTTTAATCACTCTCCAAAAAAACGGAAACTTTCTAAAACTGTTTGTGATTTGTTGGAGTCTGAGAACTCGAGCAAGCAGAGTCACATTCCAACCCAAAAAGCTGACTCATCTGACATAAATCCGAACAGTAGTAGCAGTTGTGGCGAAGATTCCGGCCCTGGAGAAGAAGTTGGGCGTAATCTCATCAAATCAGAGTCAATTGAAATATTTCGAGTTGTTCCACATGAGTTTTTAGACGACCCTGTCGAAGTTTTTAGTAATACACTGAAAAGAAAATTAGACTCAGCAAAAGATCGAATTGACAGTCGAAAGACAACAGTGGTTTCATCAGAATTTACAAGGTGTAGTCCAAAATTTTTGAACCCTCCTTTCGATCAGAACTCAAATCGCCATGATTTTGAATTGGAATTGATGCAAGTGAAAGAAGAAGGAGATTTGACAGATGAAGTGGATGATACTCTTTCAAATGCCTCTGAGTCACCAATTAAAGGTATTTATAAAATTATAGGAATTATTTGTGATTCAGTGATGATATCCTAATGATTGTTTAGTTTGCGATGACTTCCAATTGGTAGAAAAGATCAAGCGCAGTTTTCAGAAGGCTCTAGAAGTACAAAATTACTTTACTAAAAATTACAGTCAAAATAGAATCTTCCTCAAAATACTAAAGCTATACACAAAGCAAAAATCTGGCTGCTAAGTGTGTATCTAAAACTATTGAACAACCATGTCAAAGAACTATCATGTGTCTGAGTTGCACCAATGAAATAATTCAATTTTTACAAACAATCATATCTCATTGTCAGTTTCGCAATTGGACATATTCATGGTATAAGGGACCATGCACAAAAAAGTAAAATCAAAAGAAGTCAAGCACAGTTTTGCCACGAAGTCACAAAAAAGAAAAAAAGTTTATCTGTTGGAAGATTGGATATTTTTTGAACAGAGTCTAACAGAAACACACCAAACCCTACTTCAGAAAAAAATGAGTTGGGAGTAGTCTTGAATTTAACTGGTTTTAAACTCTCTCCTGTCAAAAATTCAAAGTTAAGGAAAATATTCAAACCATAAAACGGTCATTGAATTGTGTCCCTAACATTGAGACCTAAGGTGGAATAAGACTTCAGACCTTTTCTCATGGTTCTAACTTTATGTAACCTAGTGAGTTTCCGTTCACTTCGGTTCATTTACAAAATAAAAATTATTCGCTATGCTTCCTTATCTGAATTAAATATAAGAATATCAATTGTCACTCGATCCACAGGATTAGGAGCATGCAAAGGATTCTCAAGGTTCCATTATTAATACTATTTATTGATGACTTTGCATTTTCTCCTATTTTTCAGATCTGTCCAACTTTGAAGCAAGCACCTCTGATTCATTGAACACTTCTACTGGCTGTGAAGATCGTTTTACTTGTAAAATTTGTGGGAATGCATACAAACACTTTAATTCCTTGTCATCACACATGAAGAAGCACAAAGGGCAAACCGTTTGTCCTCTGTGTTTCAAAGCCTTGAGCACAAGATCAAAACTTCGTCGACATCTAATTTTGAATCACTCTGTTCATCCGAATGACGCTGCCAATATGATCCCATTGTATTCTAGGGGACCATCAAGTACAAAAATATCTCTCAACAGTTTTATATCTACCTGAGTTAGAGACAACTGATCTTCAATATTTCATTAATGTTACCAACCGGTTTACGCATTTGTTACCCCTTGAATCTTTCAAACTACAAGTTTGTGAGAACATTTAAAATTTTGAAGTAACCAATTGGTCTCAAGTATTTTGTGGTAAGATAATAATACTGGCATATAGTTATTATTTTCCCGGGAAATGGGCAAAATTGTATTAAATACTGATCGTTAGATCCCAACCTGTATCAGGCCTTTGTATTAGGCTTCTATTTGAATCTTGCTACCAATTTTTATTTCTGAAACTTCACCATTTCTAATTGAAACAAATTTCAATTTCAACTGCCTGTTTTCTTTACCATTCACCTGAAATCAAATTTTCGTTAATTTTTGTAAAAAGTTGACACGCAGTACCGTTTTAATGTATGTCTCTTGCTGAAACAGCATTTTCCCCCTTATAGATAGTTACCAGTTAATTTGAGTTTAAGTTTTTTCACGTAATTAAAGAAAAACTTGGTGATTTTGAACTCTTCCAAAATTTTTTAACGTTTGATTGTTGCATTAAATTTCTAACATTAATCACAATACTATTATTCTTGCCGTTTCCAAAATGGTGGGGCACAACCAAATCTAGTCATCCTTACTCTTACTTAACTTTTTACGTTTTGTTATGTCCTTTTTTCTGTTGATTTCTATTATCATTCATTTATTTTCTCTTCTCTTTCATAAGAGTCAAATTAAAAATTAACTTTCATTGTTCCAATTTTGTTACCCTGAATCAAACTGATACATGATGTATTTGATACATCCAATGTATCATTTGTCTAATATTTTCTTTCATCTTTCAGTTTATTTATTTTTTCCCCATTCTTTTTTTGTTGTGTTGTGCAGTATTTATTTAGACATTAATTTTTACGTTTAGGTATGTCCAGTTTTTTCATTCCTAATTTAAGGCTAGAGTGCCTTTGGTATCATCTTATTTCTTTTTAGCAGTGATAAGACTGCTTAAATTTCAGTGAGCTTTCTGACCAAGTTATGCTGCATTGACTAAATTGTAAGTTGTCATGTCCGAAGTTTTCAATTCAGATTGAAACCGGGAAAACATACTTCTAAGAGCATTTAAAAGTATGAGCCTGTCTTTTTCCTGTGATTGATTGCAAGATTTAAATCGAATTAGAGATGACCTACAATCTTTAAGTATTGGTCATTTCACCAGATTGAAACCAACAAGTACATAATAGGAAAATTAATAATTCCAAATTTCTGCATGTTTAGAATTATTTAATTTTCAACCACCGTTCACATGTTTTGCCTCAAAGCGGTATCACAATTTTGATCCTTGTCACACTTGTCATTTTTAATGGATCGTATTTGATACTTCAAACAGATGAGATTCTATCGATATCGATCGGTTCAATTCGTAAGCAAAGCCTCAAAAGTCAATTGGGTAATCTGTGGGAAAGGGGTTTTTTGGGTGTTAAAGATTTTTGATTCTTACAAGAACAATATGGCAATGAAAAGTGAAATTTTTAGAAATTTCCTCTTTTCCAGCTTTTTCAACTTGAATCCTAAAATTTTTATTTGTGGTTATGCTCTACTGGTTTGAACCAAACGATACTTCGAAACACTATTGAATACGATCTATCATTTTGATCACAATACTATTTTCATTTATTTTTAAATTTGACCCTCTCTAGAATCCAAATCAATAGCAAGAGTGTCGCTATTCTTCTGTTAATTTTATTGTACCATGAATGAAGTGAAACAAAAATTTAAAAAGGACTTAAATAAATGATCAGGTAAAATGATATGATTGTAAAACACCCATACCACAATTGGTTTTATGTAAATTGGAAACTCCAACAAAAAAAATATTTCACTGAATAATAAAAATACTTGCCTAAACCTTTATGTAACTACAAAAATTGTCAACTTACATGTGAACATCAATCCTGAATTTCAAGGATCATTTTATACGCATTGACCCAATTTTTTGGAATGAGCCGTGGCAGTGTTATCTTTCATTCAAAGCTCATACAATCAGTCTCACTCATCCTCCATTTTATGTGAAGTTTACATCCCCCCCCCCTCCCTAATGGAATTTTGTTGGTTCTTTTCATAGGCTCCAAGCTCTATTGTCTATTCTGGATAAATTGCAGTGATCTGTTAATACCCCCCTTCCCCTAAAAATTAGGTATAATACATATTAATAAGTAAGTACATTAACTATTGAAGTATTACAACATCTAACTATGTATTTGAATAATTTACTTACGCATTATCATACATTAATTTAGTAAAGTTTGAAATTAAAAGTGTAGTCAGAACTATGCCTCTCCATTGCTGAGGTTGATAAATTTGCTCAAATAGTTTTAAGCAACTTTCACTGACATTACTTGTTGAAATGTTTATTTTTTTGTGGTGAGTCATTGTAAAGTTACCAATTTGGATTGATGAGTTAATTTATCTCTTCGATAGAAATGCTCAGCTGCCCAGCTGTGCTTTCTTTCATGAATACCCTCAGCCTCTGTATTAGCAAAGCAGTACCTAAGTGATATCACATTTCAGAACATGAAAGTGTCAATTGTTAATTGTTCTTCTTTTTTCTTTTTCTTTTTTTTTTGGTTGTTGAGGACGAATATTATTTAATAAATATGCCTTTTCTCTCGTAATTGTTGTTAGTTAATAAACATTTACTTTTGCCGCTTGCAGACAAAAAATTGAAAAAGTACTTTTAAACTGGTGGAAGCAGCCAGTCTCAGAGCTTGCTTTCAACTTGACAGATGGCTTCAGTCATGCTTTATCCACACATATCAGACAGCATGTTTGGCCTCCGTAATATTTTAAGAGAAATAAACAGTTTTAAATCAGTTTTTTTTAGAAGGTACGCCTGGGTGTATTAAGCTCAAGCGATAACTATGATAGGCTGTATCCTCCTCATGTTTGACATGGTATACTCGCATTTGAGCGAAGGCATGATATGGCTTTGCAAGGTGTGGTCAGGAGGCCAGTAGTGTGTGGTTCTGTATTCAAAAAGCGCAAGGTTTTTATTCCCTGCAAAAACACAGAAATAATATACAGAATACTTCAAAAACCATCATGATCAAATATTTAGTTACCGGCCAATTTGACCCGACTTGGGAGTTCATGCATAGCTGAAGTGCGCTTCAGCTAGAATTGTTTTTACGAATGGGTGGTTTTTCTACGAGGATTTTAAATAAACGAAAATACGGAATATAACAAAGAATATGAACTATGGAAAACGATTATTCCGATAACGGAACTTGGCTGTTTTGAAAACGCCTTCAAATGCGGCGTGATACCTCACGCATTCCGGAGAGTTAAAATAGTTGTATCATTGCGCCGTGGGAATGTGACGGAAGATTTTAATGGAAATAGCCTCCATGCACGCTGGGCGTGTCGATTTCCTCTGAAATTTTTGCAGTGGTGAATGCATAGCTGAAGTGTGCTTCAGCTAGAATTGTTTTTACGAATGGGTGGTTTTTCTACGAGGATTATAAATAAACGAAGGTACGGAATATAACAACAGAATATGAACTATGCAAATCGATAATCCGGGTTTCGGGTCTTGGCTGTTTTGAAAACGCCTTCAAATCGGCGTCATACCTCACGCATTTCGGAGAGTTAAAATAGTTGTATCATTGCGCCTTAGAAATGCGACGGAAGATTTAAATGGAAATAGCCTCCATGCACGCTGGGCGTGTCGATTTCCTCTGAAATTTTTGAATTGGTGAATGCATAGCTGAAGTGGACTCCAGCTCGAATTGTATTTACAAATGGGTGGTTTTTCAACGAGGATTAAAAATGAACAAGTGGCACGGAGTATAACAAAGAATATGAACTATGCAAAACGATTATTCCGATAACGGAACTTGGCTGTTTTGAAAACGCCTTCAAATGCGGCGTGATACCTCTCGCATTCCGGAGAGTTAAAATAGTTGTATTATTGCGCCGTAAGAATGTGACGGAAGATTTAAATGGAAATAGCCTCCATGCACGCTGGCAAAGGGAGTTGAGCCATGAGCCATTGAAGTCGAGGATGCCCAGACTGGAGACTCTTAGCATCTGACGACGGAAGAAAATGAAACGCAGTTACTAAAAATATCCCTCTGTACTGAAAATCTTGAAAATAGATAGAAATTTTGCAAGAAGTATACTTCTTTGAAAATTTAAGAAGAATTCTACAGTGCCCCAACGTGTTTCTGAAAATCTATTCACCTTTTATGAAATTTTCAGGGTAAATTTTTCACTTTTTCTTACGAAACAAGGGTTGCATGTGAATTCGTGGTGGTTTTTCACGGGTAAGACGGGCTCCCTCTGGGGCCCGGGCCCCGGTACCAGGGACCCAGTATCCCCCCTTGTGGCGGGCCTGCCTTCATGCACGCTGGGCTTGTCGATTTCCTTTGACATTTTTGCAGTGGTGAATGCATAGCTGAAGTGGGCTCCAGCTCGAATTGTATTTACAAATGGGTGGTTTTTCAACGAGGATTAAAAATGAACAAGTGGCACGGAGTATAACAAAAGAATATGAACTATGCAAAACGATTATTCCGATAACGGAACTTGGCTGTTTTGAAAACGCCTTCAAATCGGCGTGATACCTCACGCATTCCGGAGAGTTAAAATAGTTGTATCATTGCGCCTTAGAAATGCGACGGAAGATTTAAATGGAAATAGCCTTCATGCACGCTGGCTTTTTCGATTTCCGTTAACATTTTTGTAGTCATGGATGCGCTTAAGTGCGCTTTAGCTAAAATTGTATTTAGCAAATGGTTGGTTTTTATAGGAGGATTATAATTAAACTAGTGGTTATAAATGGAAACAAAAGAATATGAACTTTGTAAAACTATAATCCGGGTATCGGAACTTGGCTGTTTTGAAAACGTCTTCAAATGCGGCGTGATACCTCACGCATTCCGGAGAGTTAAAATAGTTGTATCATTGCGCCTTAGAAATGTGACAGAAGATTTAAATGGAAATAGCCACCATGCACGCTGGGCGTGTCGATTTCCCCTGAAATTTTTGCAGTGGTGAATGCATAGCTGAAGTGCGCTTCAGCTAGAATTGTATTTACAAATGGGTGGTTTTTCTACGAGGATTAAAAATAAACGAAGGTACGGAATATATAAGAAAATACCGGTTCCTCTTCATGTTCCGCAAAATGTATAAATTATGACTTTCTCCTATTTGTGTCTTTGGATGTGGTTGGCATACCATAGCCCCTGAAAATATGAAATGTTTCACAGCCTCCTGAAATTAAGTGAAGTATTTTACTGAAACTTCCAATCCGTCATTTCTTTCTTACGTTTCATTCCACCCTGGCCCAGTTAGAGCGTTGAGGAAGAGAAAAGCCCATTGTCTTCGCCCCGTACCCATCAAACCGAGCCAGATCTGGCAAACCGCAAAAGAGACATTCCATATTATATATATTTCCGCTGCAAAACTGGCGAAAAGAGGGGTGCATCAGAATTCCCCTTTTCCCCCTCCCCTCATTTTTGTCGTAGGTCGCTCACACACCGCCGCCGCCGCGCCGGCCGGTTCGCCACCCAACCACCACGCCGCAAATTTCAAATGTTTCCATGGAGGTGATAATACACATGTTTGACGCTTGGCGCTAGAATCGTGGCGCTCAAATGTCCCGCCTCTCGCGTCCCACCCCGCCATTCCCGCCAGTCAGTTATTTTCTACTCGCGAGGGGAGACGCCACGCTTTCGCTCTCCCATCTATCGTGCTCTACGCCGACAACGCGTTTTTTTCACCGCGGTTGAACACCACATGTTTCTCTGTTCCTCCTCGATTTATAGTCGTTAACTGTGTGTCGTGGCTGTGAATGTTAACTCTCTCATCACACGCATTAAATCATTTCTTCAGTTTCATTGTTTATATCCTTTCCAGGTGAGGTGATTTTTGAAAGTCATGTAGGTACCTACTAAGATTTTTTCTTCTTTTTTTTTCAATGTAGGTAGTTACGTTTTTCACTACAGAATTTGAAGTCCCGAGATTGACTGAGCCCGAAAATTAGTACAAAGTGTCGTATTCAGGTCCGGAAGATGAGCAGATATTTTGCATTATCTATAAGGTAGATTATACCTACCTATGTAAAAATTACGAAAATATGAAACAGTCTGGAATTTTTCGTGTGAGGGCGTGTTTGCGCGAGTGTGTTTTCCACTGGATTTTTTTCGAGTTGTGTCACTGTAATTAATACTTCCTTGCCTCTTTTAATACTTCGTCTAGTCTGCTAATGTGCCGACAAAACCATAAGCGATTAACCCTCTTGAGCAGGGGCTCTGTCGCGAGAAAGATCTTAAAATTCTTTGAGCATATTGCTTTTAAGCATAGCAGTTTCTTTTGCTGGCTGCAAATGAAGCTTTCGAAGGTTTTCATGTAAAAGGTTCTTTTCATTGAAATTTTAATCATCAATAAATCATCAGTTAATTAATGAACTATGGCCCTTTTCACATTGAGAAATTTCCATCGACAGAAACGAAAACTATTGCAGGTCGCGTGAGTCCACCATGGCGTGAATATGAGGTTATGTATGTGTTTACATCGGAACCACCGTGGCTCCTGGCTCAGCATCTTCCACTTAGGGATGCCGATTTTTCCAAATTAATCGATTTCGGGAAATCGATTTGATTTTCGGTTACAAATCGATTCTATTCTAAAATCGGATGGAAAAAATCCATTTTTTTAAAACGATTTTATAAAATTTGTATACCCAAGTTCGGCGCCAAAAACATAAAAGTGACAACTGCCATACCTAAATGAACTTTAAATGGAACTGGAGTTTTACAGAACTTAGGCTTTATGTGACACATTAACGCAGAAAATTTTGATTTTGTTTTTCCCAATACCTAATTCGATTTCGGCTCGTAAAAGCGATCCCGATTTTTAATCGATCTCGAAAAATCGATCCGATTTAATCGATTTTTCGGCGCCAAAAATCGGTCACAAATCTCCATCCCTTTAGTTCCACCTAAAATGAAGTGCGTGCCCACTAAATCGCTCATCGCTCCATAGCCGCTCTGAATCCATTGCCAAAAAGAAGCATCGGTATCGCTCAAGTCAACCTATTCGCAGAAAATAGGTAGGTAGGGACACAGCTTATAGATTCTGGTTGAATATCCAGAAGTTACCGTGAAGTACCGTCGTCCAACAAAAATTTTGGATGTAGGTAACGCAAGCTTTGAGTTCATTGCAGACCTACACACGTTCAATTTGCAAAGAAACAGAGAATATCTCTCAAAAATCACGTTTGGAGGTTCTGCTAGTTAGGTGATTCAATGGACGCCATATTTTGTGTCAGAACGGCATGCGAGATATCGCATCAATTGGTTCCATTTTTTCAGCTATACTAATCATTTTTCTCGAATTTTGAGATCGCAATTCTGTTGTCAGGAGACTAAAACACGCACTTACCAATTTTTACTAAGAAATTAAACGTAATAAAGACGTGGTTTTTTTAAATAGGAAATATCGCATTCGAGTGCAGTTTCGATATCAGTATCGAATGCTCTCTAAAAAAACCCACGTCTTTATTACGTTGAATTTCTTTGTAAAAATTGGTAAGTGAGTGCTTTAGTCTCCTGACAACAGAATTGCGATCTCAAAATTCGAAAAAAATGACGAGTAGCTGAAAAAATGGAACTAATTTATGCGACATATCGCATGCCGTTCTGACATAATATATGGCGTCCATCGAATCACCTTTAAGTGAGACAGTAACGGGCCGGGGCGCGCTCGATGACAAAGAGAGTTGGCGAAAACGTTATCACATCGTCATTGCCGAAATTGACGTCGCAGCAACGTTTTCTTGACGTTTTAGGAGACAAAAATCGTGTTTCGGTTAGTTGCCAGGTGAAGGAAAATCATTAGGGATAGTAGTATTTTTTCTGAATTTTTTTTCTCGAGACTCAAAAAAAGATTTTATCAAACAGCGTCATCATTTGTCCTAAAAAAGAACCTTTATTTTAGTGGGAATATTCCAGCACCACAAAATTAACCGTAGGCTGAGGGTTTTTGAGTTGGAAAGAAGTGAAATATTCACGATCGGACGAATCCCTTCATAAAAGTATAGATTTTCAGTAGCTGTATGCCAGTTGGGCGCATTTATGCTAAAAAGGAACTATGTCTCACGCTAACCATATGCACATAGTTCCTTTTGGCATAAATACGCCCAGTTGTGCGAACTTGCTGCTCAAGACTCGTGGGTCAGGGTGATTCACCTGCGTCTGGCTGGCCGGCTGGTTTGCCACCAGCCGCATCCTCGGTTGCCAAATTCAAGTCAAATTTTCCATCATCGCACCGCTTTGACAATAACACTTTACCATCATGTATTCATGTGAAGGAAACTCGATCGTCATTTATCCACCTTAATTGACGGGGTCAAAAGAGCTTGATTTTTCAAACGTTGTTTTATTTTTCCGATTGTTCATTTTCGAAAGCGGAGAAGTCACTTCGTCACCTTCCAGGCAAAGTATCACAAGCGCCATGCGACGTTTAAAAATTTCCGCCGCCATTTTATTTTTTTACAGAGAAATTGTTCAACGAAGCTGTCCGAAAATTTCACTGAATTTTCTTTGTGCTGCCGATAAAATTTAGTGAAATTTCCAAACAGATTCAACCAACAATTTCTCAGTAAAGAAATAAAATGGCGGCGGAAATTTTTAAACGTCGCATGGCGCTTGTGATACTTTGCCTGGAAGGTGACGACTTGATTTCCATAATGCTGAGAATTGTTCAAGCTCTCAAGCCCACGTAAAAAAGTCGAAGGGGCGTTCAAACATTGCATTATGCACGCACTGTCTCTCGAAAATCATCCAAAATTCCCTCGCCTTTCAGCACCAGGAATCACCTTTTTCATTTCAGTGCCAATTCTGCCGTGCTAAGAACGCCGTTTGAACATTCGAGAGTTGCCAGATTTCTTTCGATAAAATGTTTATTTTGAGGGAAGTTATTAATCTTTTTCTTTGAAATTTTAAAGAAACTTTAGGTAAAATTACGAACAAAATTATGTGAAAAATTTGAAGAAAAAAATTCATAAGTTTACCGGGAAATTTTCGTTTTATCGGATGAAATTTGGGAACGCCTGAGAGTTCATAAGGCGTTTTCCCTCAGCACGGCAGAATTGAGATAGACTTGAAAGTTTGTGAGTGATCCTAGGCCAAAGGAAACGAATTTTTGGACCCCCTCTCCCTCGCCCCTTCAGAAAAAAAACATCGTTGAAGGATTAACCCTGAACAGGGGAAGAACATCAAGAATGAAAGGGATGGTGCGGAACCACCCTTGAATAATTATCACTCTGTATAGTGATCGAAAATAACGCTGCCTAACACCCCACCCCCCCCTTCTACCGTCCTGCCGATTAGGTGCACCACGTAATAATTGAATGAAGCCCCGAAGTCTGAAGTCAAAGAATAGGTGGTGCAATAAAATGGCGATCGATTTTTAAATTATGATGGATTCCATCTTTGTATCGATTAACTTCTTTGTATTCTCCTCCGAAACGCTTACTTGAGAGTTGCATTCTCCGTGTTAGGATGTTGAGTGACAAGGAGGCAATTTTCAGTTTCGAAAAACCTTCGTCATGCATAAACGTATTTCAGCCTTATCTCTCTACACGGAGAATTATACCTATTACAAAGGTGTGCTTCTTCTCGATCGTGAATACAATTACCTATGCCGCAAATTGTACGGCGACTCTATTTGGCAAAGCACAACCTACGACCATGTTCGAAAACTCCCGGCTCATTTCCATTCTGCACTAAATTATCGCGTAATCTGACCGAGTTTACTCTCCGATTACCACGTTGTCTAGGTGATGATTATTTAGACTTTATTCTTAGCTTCGCGTCAGCTAATGGAACCGAGTTCCTTCACGACTGATGTGTCATTAGCTCGCAATTATTCGCCTTTCACAGACACGACGTCAGAGCAGACCATCGATTAGCAAGCCGTTGTCGTATGAATATGCATGCAAAAAGAATCTTCCATTCCTTTACTTGATTTTGAACACAGGATGCAGTCATATCCAGTGAGAAGCAGCGGTCAGGTGCCTAAAAAGGTTAAAATTGAACATCGTGTGTCAATAACAGCTCATCAGAATATTTTTAAATCCTCTCTATTCTAATAAAATCATTTTTAAGACGCTCGATGGACGGAGCGAGGAAGGGGATTAAGACGACCCATGGGCAGGATTGAGGAAGGGGAGTTCAAAGGTCAAAGTTTTAATAGAGTGGGTATCTTTACTTTCAGAGAGCTTCGTTTAGTCATAGGTTAAAATTTTTAAAACAGCAGCCTGTGACAATGATGATATCGAAAACATAGGAGAAAAAACGGGAAACAAGGCTAAAAATCACACATAAAAATGGTGACCCCCGGAGACTCCTGTTACGGATGTACGAACTGCGAGGGAGTGGCAGGCCCGCTACAAGGGGGATTACTGGGTCTTTGGTACCGGGGACCCGTGCCGTCCGTGACACACTATTTCCAACTCACAAGGGGCCTTCAATGGGGCCCAGACCTTAAAGATGGTACCAGGGCCCGATATGGGACGTGGCAGGCCTGGAGAGGGGGAGGTCGTTAAAAACCCAATTTTGAACGTTAGATATTTTAAACACAGCCTTTCCCAGCTAGGCAGGGTTGACGATAATCCCCCTCGCGTTACACGGAGAAAAAAATCTCGTGCGTGGGACCCGAAGTTTAGGTCATGTGGATCTGTGAAGTTTTCGGATTGAACATCTGAACACTTTGGGTCTAGCTGTAGGTTCGGATCACACATCTGAAACTGCAGTTCTTACATCTGAAGTACTTCGGTTTTCACATCCGAAAAACTTCGGTTCTCACATCCGAAAAACTTCGGTTCTTACATCTGAAGTACTTCAGGTGTAAGCCCAGTCAGCACCGCAATATTTTTAAAACATTTTTAAAACATTTTTGACATTATTTTGTAATTATTTTTAAAACATTGTCAAAATATTTTCAAAATTGCTACATGTTAACTCCATGTACATATTTTAAAAATATTTCCAAGGAAAATTTTAAAAATATTTTCAAGGAAAATTTTAAAAATATTTTCAAAATATTTTATCGAAAATATTTTACCGGAATGTTTACCTATTTGTATACCATGCGCGCTCTATCAATGGTTATTGACACTATTCTCTTCTGTATACTCAGCGCGCTCTGTCAAGTAGATGTGGAAGTACAGGCAAATTTCGTCATTTTCATAGTACTGCAATTTTATTACATTTGAAACATGAAATACACAAGTACTGAACATTTTAAACCACTTACCTGAATTCCTGCGACGTTTAGGAGCGTAAAACACCCGGACGCCCTCGTGCGAACTGGAACCTGGGCCGCGGGTTTGGTAGCCGAGCACTCTAGCCACTGAGCCACAGAGAGCTCATGGTGGGCCGGTTTAAAATCACGCCTGTTATAGCATGCGTTGCGTCAGTGCGCGGCTCGTTCCTGTTATTTGTTTTTTTCGATCTCACGTAATAGGTACTTACATTAAATTTACACTAATGTAAATAACACCTCATAATAACTGAAAATAAGGACTTGAAAATATTTTTAAAAAATATTTTTAAAATAATTCAAAAATATTGTTTGTAAATATTTTTTAAAAAATACTTTAAAAATATTTTCAAAACTTTTTTATTAATATTTTAAAAATGTTTAAAGACAATATTTTTGAATTATTTTCAAAATATTTTCGAAAAAATATTTTCAAAATATTACTTTAAAAAGTTTTGAAATATTTTTGGAAATAGTTTGAAAATATTTTTTAAAAATTATTTACGTGACAATATTATAAAAATATTTTTATGCTTTCATTTTATAAATAATTACATTAAATATTTTTACAATATTGCTTTGTAAATTATTTTTTAAAAGTATTTTCCAATTATTTTCAAAGTTTTTTAGCAATGTTATTTAAAACTTTTTCAAAAATATTTCTTAAAACTATTTTAAAAAAGTTGTATCAATATTTTTCAGAGGATATTTTAATAGCAATAATGAAAATATTTTTAAAATGTTTTTAAAATATTGCGGACTGACTGGGAGAACTGAAGTTTCAGATGTGTGATCCAAACCTCAGGAGCTGGACCCAAAGTGTTCAGATGCTCAATCCGAAAACTTCAGAGATCTACATGACCTAAACTTCGGGTCCCACGCACGAAGTTTTTTTCTCCGTGTAGTGTTGGGCGAATTCATTTGAAAGCTAATATCAGACGAATTTTTGTTGCAGGATGCTGTTTCCGTGCCAGCGCCATCATGGAAATTCCCGCCAAGCGAGTGCCGTCAGCGAGTCCTGATCATTTTGGGTGCGAAATCGGTGGAGCCCCCAGTGCCGAGTTGCCAGCCCGAAGCGCGGGTCGTGGCTCGAATGTGAAGTGCGGGCGATCGCGTTAATGCCGATGCACGCGTCCGCGAAGTGAAGAAGTCAAGTGCCAAGTGTCATGTCCGTCCAAATGTCCCTCGGCAGCGACTGAGTCTCCGTTTTCTTCGCGTTGTGAACCACCCCGAGTGTCGGCACCATGTCAGCCACGAGCTACGACGTCGGGGCCGCCTCCGAGAAGATGGGAGTCGAGCTCCGCAGCATGGGCAACAACAAGCAAACGCGCTTCCAGGTGAGCAGAATCTTTGCACTAGGCCATGGACAAAGTTATACGAGTATACACAAAGCTGTACTCAAAGTTACAGATAAACCGGTAGACAAAGTGATATATGCAAAGTTAAATACAAAGAATAAGTAAAGTTATAGACTAGGCTATAGACAAATTTATAGACCAAGCGACAGTCAAATTAATGGACAAAATCACAGATAAAGCTATTGACAAAAGGAATGACGACCCTGGGAAAAATTGGCAGTAGAATATGTGTTCCAAAACACCATAGACCTACAGCCGGCTGTAAGATTTCCAATAGCTTCTATAGCCGGCTACACAATTTCTTATAGCCTTTTATAGCCGATGGCGATTAAGTAACAACCAGGCGATAAAGTAACAGCCAGGCGATAAAGTGTATGCTAAACGTCACTAATTACGGATGCTAGGAATAGTGATTTTTTGGAATACTGCTCTCTTTTTGGGCCGTAGTATCTTAATTTATTTTGCGAGGAAAGCTCCGTACTTCTGATGGATGCCTGCCATTACTAATATATTAGAGCGCCTTCAGTTTCGTATGATACTGTGCAATACCTCTGGTGTGAAATAGTTGCTTCAAGCGCCGTGGCACGCTGCGGCGCGGCGAGCGGGCAGAGAGCGCGAAACGCGCGTTGGCACCTACAAACCTAACAGGGGTACTTCACGCATTGCGCAATGCGTGAAGTATCCCTGTTAGGTTTGTAGGCGCCAGTGCGTCGCCGCTCCGCTTTGTGTTAGACTCTAATATTTAAGCTCGCGGAGTCAGCGTTATTCAACTCATGATTTTGAAATGTTTGCACATCCTGTATGGATTATTCTCATTTGAATTGATGAAAAAAAATATGTTTTAGAGGAAAATACAATGTGTGTTTTGTAAATATTAAGGTGGTTCCATATCAAACTTAATGATTTCCAAAGCACACGAATTTCTACACAATTTCTTATAGCCTTTTATAATCGATGGAGAAAAAGCAACAGCCAGGCGATAAAGTGTAAAGCCCGGCGATAGGAACTATAGCCGCCCGGCCGCATAATTTTTTATCGCTTCGTTTAGCCCGGCCGTATGCTTTTCTCCGCATTCTACAGCCAGCTATATGCTTTTCTGTAGCCTTCTTTAGCCGGCTATAAGAATTCCTATGGTATTTTGAAACGCAGCTCTTATCGCCAATTTTTACCAGGGGAAGTTTTAGACAGTTTCAGATAAAACGATAGACTAAGTTATAGTCGAAGTTGCGGACAAATTAACAGATAAGAGATTGACAAATGTGTAGACAAGACGATAGTCAAAGTTGTAGACAAGTTGGATACCAAAGCCGATAGAACCAGGTGAGTCCGATGACAAAGATTTTCTTTGGGATCTCCCAATGGAGACGAACTCCCCCTATTTGCTGTTTCATTATACTCTCCAAATTGTTCCCCAATTTACGTTGTTCCGTTGCATAGTTCCTCCCTCTTCCCCTCCCGATCCCCCCGATTTGCACAAGGCCAATGCAAATGGATTGGGGAACAGTAGAGAGTCACAAACAAACCGGGGATCTTTCGGCAACGCGGACGCCGTTTTGCAAAGAATCACACTCGACTTTCCTAACGGACTAACTTGGTTCTGTCGACCTTGCTGTCGAATGTGTACCCGGCAAATACTCAATAAATACCCGAGGCAAAGCTTTGGATATTTATGGAATTTCGGCCTTATGAATACCCAGCGAGTATTTACTCGACTAAGTAACATTAGGTTACAGTGCCTTCGATTGAGGAGGATTTGACGCTTTGGCGATAATAATGGATTTTTTGGTGCGTTTGTGTGTGTGCACAGGTGAACCGTGTGGGTGACGACGGGGACGGCGGGGGGGCGGACGAGGTGGAGCACGAGGAGCATGATCACCTGATGGACTACGAGCAGGAGGGCGGCTACGCCAAGAGCTTCCGGCACCTCACCCGCGAGGCCCTCCCCCGGATGGACAACTACCGCAACATCATGTCCATCCAGGCCGCCTACCGCCCCACCCTCGACGAGCTCCACAATCAGACCCTCCATCACAAGGTAAATGAGTCCTTTCATCACTAAACTCTCATTTCTATGCATGACCATCAACGTCGAATCTTGCCAATACGACGGACGATGAACGAGTGAAAGAAAAAGCTCGAACATGACGTTGCACAGTAGATCGAACCAATCATAGAGGCGGGATCAGAGACAAGAGACCTTCCACTAATATCTTGGCCATTGTGGAAGCTTTTACTTTCGGGACTTCAGCATTCTATTGTTGACTTACCTACATGGTTGATGTTCAACAACGTGTTGGCAGTTTCGTTTTACAAACAAGCCGAAAGTGGCCGACGTTTGGGAAACTGGTTTGACTCATGACGTCACCCGAAGCTCATCATCGACCATGTAGGTAGGTCAACAGCCGAAATTAAGGTGATGACTGTTGCTCCCTAATAACTGTACGTTACGTAAGGAACTGTTGAATCCCCGAAAGTAAAACCTTCCACCTGTCGCTAGGAGGCCAGTGGAGGGTCTCTTGTCTCTGTCTATGCATGACCATCAACGTCGAATCTTGCCAATACGACGGACGATGAACGAGTTCAAGAAAAAGCTCGGACATGACGTCGCACAGTGGATCGAGCCAGTCAGAAAGGTGGGACATAAAATTGTTGACTAAAACTGCAAATTTTGATATTTATTTCGTCATGTTTTCAATTTTAGGGGGTGTCTCTGAGAGAAAATTTAACGAAGAAACCAATAAAACCACTTTTAGAATCTCCAAGCTTTGTATAAATGGAGTTATGAGCGTTTAAAGTTTCCAAATTTTGTCCGACCTCTCTTATTGACTCGATCTACTGTGCGAGGGACGATGAACGAATCAACTAAAAAGCTCGGACAAAACTTCGTGACCTTTGAAAGCTTGTATCTTCGGCAATACAAAACGCAGAGGTTTAAGGGTGGTTTCGTTCGTTTTCTCCATAGAATACAACAAAATGGCAATGTACAGGAGCGCCGATGAAGTCAATCCACGAACGGGCCATTTCGAGCTCTTCGTTCGCCTAAAGTGTGAACTAAAGTGTGAAGCAAACGGCATTTTTTAACATGGCGGCTTATAAGAGAATTGCGGGCTATGAGTGGTTCTCGGGACTTATTGATTTAAATCGATCTTATTTTCGCGAATTTTGGCAAAATATGTCGAACAGAATCAAATCAAATTAGAGTCCATGCCAAAAAAGTTTACGCACTTTTAGACTGCGACAGAAGATCTGTCCTTCTTGCTTCTTGCATTTACTTTACATGTCAAAGTGACGTCAGACGATCTTCTGTCGCAGTCTAGAAGTGCGTAAACTTATTTGGCGTGTACGAAGCCTGGAACTGGGTCGCTGGGTCCTCGCGCATACGGTATAGCCATTCGCCACACATTTAAGTCTCAGGAGTCCTGGACAAAACAGCCTCAAAAAGTGACTTCATCAGCGCGTCCCTATATTGCGAATCTATTGTACTCCATGGTTTTCTTGTACAGTTTCCTTCAAGAAGCGCCCCTTAAATTGTATTGGAATACACATCAGAATATGGAGTCTCAGTCAAAAATGTCATGTCTTACCTTTCTGAATAATCCACTGTTCGACGGCATGAATACCTATCTCTCCATTGTGACCATCGGCACGGCGGTTCCAGTTCTTTCTCTTGTGTACACCAAGATTATTTTGAGAGTATACATATATCGCGGCGTGTGAGTGGCAAGTCTGGGGGTCGGGAATCCTAGGAAGAGGGACCTAGCTTGGAGGCCTCCCCGAAAAATTTGAAAATTTTAGCCTCTCGAGAAAGCTACCAGAGCATATTCAAATATCTAAAGAATATTGCAAAGAACCAAGCATGATCTCCATAAAATTGTGTCTCTCATCAGTTATCGTTGCAAGAATAAGCGATGATCTCCGATGCATTTCCGGTTGACTTGCTTGGGTAAGGAATGCGGGATCCCTGAAGTGCATCGTCTCTGGCCGCGAAGAGCAGTCGTGTACGTAACCATCTATCAATCAAGGCTGTAGAATTATGAGCAGCAAGTTCCCCGTTGGTGAATCATTGACAATGAGAGACGGATAAGTTGTTCCGAATCATTCTTCCTTATCAGAGCTTCAGTGGCGAGGCGTGAATGATCGATTGTCGATATTTCCCCATTTGATACTGCGTCGAAGAATCGATCATTAAAGTCTTCGTCGCGAGCACCCTGCTTATCGATCCTTTTCCATAGGTCCAGATGGCAGATCAATCGATATATCGCAAAGCACGTCACGCCACAGCAGAGTTTCTCCAAGCCCTGTAAAGCACCTCCACACTTCATAAATATGCGTCGGAAGCCACCAGTCAAATTGGACATTCTAGGCAGATACTTAAAAAATTCTGCCAAAGATTTTGCCGTTTTGCCTGATTTTTCATCGAACAAAAAGCCCCAATATGTTTATAGTTGCTCTTTAATAATGTTTTCAGAGCTTTTAGCACTAAGAGTAAATATTTATCTCAAAGTTGCTCGATGCTTTATAAAGTACTTGCCAGGTACTCAAAAGCCTGACGATAACAAATGATGTGAATAGCTACTTAAGTAAAATATTTACTCCTCTGATCAATTTTTTTCCTCAAACCTTTTTTAGATTAACGGCCGTTCCTCTTTAAATATCTCGACCGCCTCCCCCTCGTAACGATTTTGTGACGTAGGCCCCTATCAGTGGCGTGGCGTGCTTGGCGATATATCGATTGATCTGCCATTTAAACCTATGGAAAAGGATCGATACATAGGGTGTTCGCAGCGAACACCTTAGTAATCGATTCTTTACCATAGGTTTAAATGGCATAACAATCTATATATCGTAATTCACGCCACGCCACTGGTCTCTATCCTTTAGTAATAATACACTGCCGTATAAACGGTTTCCCTGTCCCTCTGGAGCGTTACATATTTTATGAATGGCCTCCTAAGGATACTCATTTGTCAGTAAAGTTCGAGGAGATTCATTTTTAAAAATCCAATTCGCATAAGCGCATAGCTGGAACAATTTTGTGGGAGGAGACCAGGGCCTTTTCATCCTTCACGGGTATTCAGGGGTGCAGAAGTGCAGAATCTTCCAAGTTTTCACGTCCTCATGCGCCCGCCCGCCGACTTTCCACATTTTCCCCATCGGTTTTCCGCCAAATTTTCCCTCACTTTCAGAGAAGAAGACCCTTTTCCTCTTCTATCCCTTGAGTTTTGACTTTAGTCCTTAAAAATTTTCGCTCCTTCCACATTCGTAAGGGCCTTTCCACACGCCCGCGGGTGGGCGCGTGATCGAGCATTTCACCAGTGAACACCCCGCGGGTATTTACTGTCCCCGATATCCCCGAAAGTCCCTAATTTTTTTGTTCAGGTCCCCAAAAAATGACAAAAATCGTCCTAAACACCGGCATTTTCAAATTTTCCCGTCAGCCGCGGCGGCGCGGTATAACCAGGTATAAAAGAACTGAAGTGTTGCTTGGTTTTTCGTATGCTTTCATCGGTTCAACATGACTTGTAAAATTAGTTGTATAAAATACGCCTTTTAACGCTCTAACTAACTTCCTTTTCTCTTACCATTTTGGGGGAAAAAGCCCCCGATTTTCTCGAAAGAACTCCCCAAATGTCTTCGAAAGTCCCCAATTTTGGTTTTTCATAACTGGTAGACACCCTGCCTATGAAATATGAAGAAAGACGTGTTTCACGTTTCATCCTCAACTACGATGAAGAGGCTTCGCAGAACAAGGACAAGGGAGCGTGGCGGAGATTGAGCACGTATAGATAGAAACCGCGTGACAACTGTGGCACCTTGATTTACCTAGTTCGATGCGAGCACTTACCGGCATCAGCATCTAAAATGACGAGTCCTTAAAAGTAGGCGCAAGGTTATGCGTGATTCGCGCGCAGTCATAGCAATTCGAGAAATTCATCCTATCGCGGAAATGATCCGTGAAAGAGAAGAGTTCTGCGGTTACGTCGTCTCTTGTTTCTTGAGAAAAATGCTAGGTAAGCTTAAACAATCAGCAGACCGTAGGCAAATTCAGCTACCTGGTGCGGTTTTTCAGGGAATGGGTCAGTTGCACTGCTCACAGAATTGTGTTTTGATGCTTGAGTCTTGCACATTAATAATTATTAAGACCAATCCAAATCGCAACTTTCTACGTTCAATATTGACCGAGATAGACCGAGTTGGGTTTTTGACGTCATCCACCGCGGTAGTGACACCCTTGGTTTCTTCCACTTTGCTTTCATCCGAGTTTCACGTAAAGTAAGTAACCAGTGCTAATGTGTGTCTCCCTGACTGATGAAACCAAGGGTGTCACGGTGGATGACGTCAAAAACCCAACTCGGTCCATCTCGGTTAATATTGAACGTAGAAAGTTGCGATTTGGACAGATCATAATATTTTTAGCTAATCTACTAGAATCAAGCAACAACACACAATTCTGTGACCAGCGAAACTGACCCATTAAAGGTAGTTGATTTGAAGGAGTGAACTTTGCTTAAGGGAGGGGGGAGAGGTTTCAGAAACTCCTCTTTAATTGAACACAATTGAGGCGTTGGGTGCAGAAAAGGCAATTCTCAGTTGCGGTGTTTCAGAATCTTCAAAGTGTTAGAGAGGTGCTTTCAGTGTCTTAGAGAGGGAACAATCCGGTTAATTTTCTGAAATTTTACATTTTCAGCATTGTAAAATCACAAAGAATATTCAGTTAAAGTTACAACACATTACTCACGTTTGCTGTCGTCATAACGAAATAAACGTTAGCGGAGATTTTGAGACATGGCAACCAGGAAAATGCCCATACACCCAGCGCCTCAACTGAAGAAATATGAGAAATGCATCTGTGTCGTATCTCGGACACAGAGAAAAGACTGTATATAACTGCTGGAAAAAGAGAACCGCAAACAAGTAGAGTTTTCAGAAATTTTCATTTCTCCTTAAAATCGCTTCTGAGAATGAGGCTATTTGAAGTAGATCAAATAATGCGTGGCTCTGAATAATGGTGTTTGGATTTATGAACTGCTCTGA